CTCAGACCAACATCCTTCGTTATTTTCATTTACATCCCCACCTTTCAACAACATATAAATTCAATGTGTCAAATGTAATCCTATTCATACGCCCGATAGATTATATTACTATTAATGTCATTGATATCAAGTAACATAGCAGTGTAAATATGAGTATGCTGTGAGAGATTTTTTTTCTTAACATGAATATTATTTGCTGTAGATACATGGTTAAACTCCCCCCACCCTCAAAAAAATAATTCGAATTAAAATGACTTTGCAATATCCACACTTTGTAATGCTTTTCCGGCCTAATAGCAGGGATAACGTCTTTGAACATTAAAGCGATAACTGTCATTTTGTCACACGGCCCTTCTCAGTCTGAACATAAACAGGCGAAGTACTCTTTTTACTATGCAACTTTATGTTTTTGCTCACAAGCCCCTTTCCTCGTACTATTGAGCATTTGCTGAACTGGACAGAGTGGTGATGCGGCAAATTAGCAAAGGACTCGCCTCCCATTCCCAGCGGTGGCTAACGTCAGCGGCGAGTAAAATCTGTGGACCAGTCCTTTGGCTCCCATCTTCATAACCCCCCCCCCCCCCCACTGAACAGCAAACAATCCTCATGGCCAATTGCAACATGGGGACACCTCCATCCGGCAGTGTTAATTGACAAAAGGGCTGCGAACGAAAACGTGCATTGAAGGGCAGCATTGCACAGAGAAATGGATTGTGATCGGCAAAAATAATTATGGCCATCCATCGGTTACCCTAAGGAAAGCTTAAGCGGACCGAATGCTTGCAGTTAACGAAAACGCGGCGCTAGGCTCGTTCGCTCAAGCGTGTCAACTACTCAGCGTCGTTGGGCAGTGTCTGATAAAGGCGACCTTTATTTTATTCACAACTTTATGTCTTCAACCATCCTATGTGCACACGTGCACACTTCTTTGGCACTAATTTCCGGCGTCAAAAAATTGACGACATGCCGCGTTGTCATCGATTCACCGTGCTTGGTCTAGAAAGAGAAATGAATGACCACGTTTTGTTTATTCGGTAGTCACAGTTATGGAACCGTGCTTTTGTGGACACGTTGCGAGCATCGTTAGTGCATGCAGATGGAACAGTGAATGAAGGCAACAAAGGTTTGAAGCTGGATTCTCAGGCTCGTTTTCTTTTGAGAGTACCGCTCTGGTAGGTGTTGATGCTATGCACCCGAGGACCGTTTGTATATTAGGAATATGAAGTCCTGCTGCCAAACTACAAGTTCCAGTGCACGCCTCCGGTGACCATGCACCCTCAAAACGTGAGAAGGGTGTCATTCATTATCGCTTAAGATCACACCCGTTTTCCCTGATTGTGACAATAAGTTTGAACGCTGCTAATATTGTCTATCGCCTAGCACGTGTTTGAAAGGATGTCCACTGCTCCATTTTTTTTGCCAGCGGTCATTCGCAAGAATCCAGATTCAAACTGCCTTGATTAAGGCCGCGCACTAACGTTCAATGTGAAAGGCATCAGTTTGCATCATTAAAACGTAATTTGAAACGGTTTGTTATGCCGTGTCAACATTTGCCTTCCGTACGAATGAATTCAAGGAACGTGACGTTAATGGATACCCATGTTCAAGAAAGTATTAGTAGAGTGACGAGAGAACGATGATCACTTTTATCAATGATATTGGACTCGTAAAAAAGAGTTGGCAGTGTTCAGTTGAGTAGAATTTACACACCAAATACGGTAACTATTTAGGTTTTTTTTCTGCTTCTTTGGTTCAAGCCTCAGAGAGCCCTAATTGCAAGTCAATCATGCCTGCACTGAGAGGTTTTAGATCGAAGGCAGTTCCGCTGCTATTGGTGTGTATATATATTGAGAGTATAAATATAAGTGAGATCTGCTGTGTGGGGCATATGCATTTGGTACCTTCCATTCTGTGCTCAATAAACAAAACACGAACGAACAACCACACGTCGTCTTTTCTGCTTTGCATTTTTAGGTTCCCATTTTACAGCTGCCTCGGTGAAACAAAGACAAAATACGAGCGACCTTATAGATGTGTTTTTTCCCGAGTGTGATTTTTTTTATGATGATGATTATGACGATGATGAAGCCGTTGCAAGTTTAAAAAAAAATCCATGCAATTTGAATGCCATTAGTGACTATTTGCATAAGTCTTAAGAGTGCTGTCAAATGCATGGCTAACACCATTTGCCCTTGCGTTTAATTATTTTCCCCGGGATGAGATATTAAGGTTACATATTTAAAATTAATGGCGTTTGCACAAGAGTACGTGGGCTGTGTTTCTCATTTTTCCACATTTATCACCCCGCGCGCACACATAACGTGTGACTCAAACTTAGACATTCTGGCCAAGATTTGCTGGGAGTTAAAATTTTCCACAATCGAGTTTTAATTGGATGGGATAGGCAGGAGGAACGCCATTTTACAGGGAATTACCAGCACGCTGCTGTTTATGTTGATAGCACTCTGCTGCACACAAGTCTGTTTGGCTGCCCGCTTACTTCCTCCCGGTGTGTCATAAACTCCGCGATTTCGGTGTATTTGTAAAATGTGCTCTCACACACTTTATTATACTTTGGCATGTGATTATTATTTCTACACGCTAGCCCTGTTCAAGCTCGCCACGGTGGCGAGATGTTAACTCCCTCACCTGGTATGCAGGAGGTCGTGGATTCGATCCCAACCCTGACCCCTGTATATTTTGAGTTTGCGTGTCTCTCTCCCTGTGGTTGCGTGGATTTTTGTCGGGCTCCTCCGGTTCCCCTCCAAATTTAGAATCAACATCACACGTTTAGAGTATTTGGCTGCTATACATTTCCCCGTGATAAGCCACTTCGTTGAGATATCATTTGTGGCCAGGTCGCTTCTGGAAAATAGCTGTATAGCTCAGTGGGCTTTACCTGGTACAAATAGTCAATAGCAATAGTTTAATTAACACGTAGGCTTTCGCGAACATCCAGCATCATCGGGCAAATTGTCCGATGATGCTGGATGTAATTACCAGCGAAACGTCGTACTCACAATTTTTAAATGTTGCGGATTCACTCTTCAACACACCGGTGGGCTAAAGTAGTGAACTATTTTGTCTTTTGTCAACGTGACACTTTTTTACTGATTGGCCGTGTCGGGTGGTGGAGGGTTACGACACATTCAGAAATAACGCGATATAACCCAAAAACGTTTATTATGAATAGTTTAATTATTTACATTTTAATTTAAGCGTGTAAGGCAGAAAGCTCACCAAAAAAAACTTGCCTCTGGTGCAAAAATGGAAGCTGCGTTTCATGACACAGCTTGGCGTCCCGTTGGCAAGGAAAAACGCTTGTACATTTTCTTTTCTCTCATCTATTAGTCATGATTGTAAAAAAAAAACTGTTTCTGCATGCTTTCATGGTTAATTTTGTTTGTTAAGTTGATCTGACAAGAGCTAATAAATGTTGCTGGGGACGAGTTAGAGAGACGAAAATGAATTAAACTAGCACGGTTAGCGGAAGGAGTTTTAACTTGGGGGGGTGGGGGACGAGGAAAGGGCGTGAGGGAGGGATCCCGTTCCTCTAAGTGATCGGCGCCCAACGGAGGTAGCTGAACTCCATTTTCGAAGCGGCACTTAATCTGCCTTATTATCGGTAGCGATGCAGCGCCCCGGATACACAACTTCATTTTCCAGCCGCACCGTACGTGCACGCCTGCTTGAGTGCCACGGAGAGAAACGAATCTCATTCCGAGCGTGCAATTCATCACGAGTGGCGTTTGTCCTCGTTTTGATAAATAAATGTGAAGTTTATGCTGTTGCTGGAGGGCTTCGAGGAGAAAGCGGGGGTGGATATGCAAGGGTTTTGGTGGATGGGGAGGGTTGGCGGAGGGTGTGTGGGTTTGACATGCAGAGAGGTATGACGGAGACGGGATAGCAAACTGCCTTAGCTCTCGGGGTGTTGGGGGAAACGGGCGGGTGAGATTGTAGGGTGCGGCTGAGAATTTAATAACGAGAAGCCTGCATAGTGGGAGCGTGTGTGCCCGTTCCATTGAAAACGCATTTCTTAAGAACTGCCTCTTTGTGTTTTCGTTTCTTGTCCCTCCCTCGCACCTCCGATTACCACTGTCGGCTACGTACTGTGCGAAAGAAATTCAACATAAATACATTAAAGCATTTTTTTTATTTACGTTGAACTTGTTTCGAACCTTACGTACCCAACCATGATGAACACCCGACCCAGTCGACAGGTGACTCTGACCATCGCGTGTGCACGCTACCCTCAGAGAGGGCGCGTCGCAGCGTTAATGTTGCATTCCGGACGCTGTCTGAGCTACGTGGGGGGGGGGGGGGGGGGTTATTTCCCGTTTTGTTTAAATGCATAGAGTGCACTGCAGCTAACTTGGTAAATTAGCAGTGGCTCACTGCAAATTGCTGTGGAATTGAAAATATAAATTTTCAAACTTGTACGAGTGTACGTGACGTGTAACATTGTTGTTTCAGAAATTATTACTCCAATATAGAGCGAAGCAGCGAATTCAGGTTACAATAAGGATACACTGCAATTTACCGTATTTGTTTATGGGCTAATTTTATATAGATTTCTGTAAACATTTTGGCAAATGTGCAACAAACTTTAGACTTCACTGAGTTACAAAACTACTGCATACCAGTCCCGGGTCCGTTGCATTCAAAAGTTGCAAATTAAAAAATTCTCACCATCATAGCCTTTTGGAACAGTTTTGTCTTTTTTGGGGTGGAGGGTGAATCGAATTTACACGTCGAGGAAACCACTACGTGTCGAAAACCAATCCTATACTTTTATTTTAGCAGTTGGCTCATCGTAACATCGGTCTCATTAAAACCCCCCCCCGCAACATTCACGTGGGTCGAAACTTTCACGCCGTACAACGCAGCGGTGTGCGCTCCTTTTGGCTTGGCAGTGCCCTCGCCCTGGAGCCACGATGAGAACCCTCCTCACCCACCTCACCCTCGCCCGTGTGCCGCTCCCCCCTCCGCTTCCGGGACAGGCGATGACGGCGACTCGGGCATCCTCCGGGCCGCCGGCGGGATGGGCACAGGCGCCATCATCGGCATCGTCATTGTCATCTTCCTCATCTTGCTCGTGGCCATCGATGTCACCTGCTACTTCCTGAAGAAGTGCGGCCTCCTCATGTGCATCACGGTCAGCTTGTGCGGCAAGGCTGGGCCTTCCGGGAAGGGGGCAGCCGACCCGGAGCAGGGCAAGGCTTCCTACTCGTGAGTATACATCTCTGTGGGTGTGTTTGCCTGTATGTATTTGGGGGGAGTGGTAGTGTAGCGGCTAGCGCGCTGCGCTACGAACTCGGCGACATGGTGTTCGATTCTTGCTCACGGTCAACACTAGTGACGAATATCTTAACCGGTCCTGGGCCTCCCCTAGGTCAATTCGGCCTCAAATTAGTACCTGGTGCAGTGTGTTAACATCGCCACTGGGGGATACAAAGGCGGTCGGGCGTGGTGTTGGCCACTCACCCCCATCGTGTGCCGTGCCAGCTTTCAAAGGTGGTCGCTAACAGCACTTGTCCCAACAGTCTGTTAAGGCTATGTAAACGATCTTTGTTTGTGTGTATATGGACAAAAATGGGCAGCGGTGGGTAATGTATAGCGCACTGCGTTGCAAACTACCACCCATCCGTAGGTGAAATCACCTTTAAGCGAGTGCTTGGCATGGTGTGTGAACATCACCATGGGGGAGGCAAAGACGACCGGGCGTGGTGCAGACCACACCATCTGCCCACTCACCGCACTGGGTATATCGTCTTTGTCTAGGCCAGACATGGGCAAAGTACGGCCCCCGGGCCGTATACGGCCCGTTGGGCTTTTTAATCCGGCCCGCCGAACTTGTCCAAATATTATTATTAAATTAAATTTTACCCTTCTCCTGTAATGCCCCCCATTTCCCCATTAGTTGGCGCACTTTGACCGGGAGTTACGACATGTTTTTGTATTGTTCATGTTCGTGCAATTTGTTCAATTGCCTTGCAAATAAATGCTTTGCTACCTGTTAAAGGCCAAATCCTTTCATGTAATGATTTTTACATGTCATTTATATAAGTTTACACAAACACTCCATCCATCTGTTCCTGGCCCGGCCCCTCTGTCAAATTTTAGAACCCATTGTGGCCCGCGAGTCAAAAAAAATGCCCACCCCTGGCCTAGATGGACAGAGGCCGGATTAAAAATGCAAATGTCGACAGACGTTCGCCGCTCCAGTACGGCCATCGCGTGCGTGCGGCGCGTCCGCTCGTAGCGTTTCCTTTTTCTCCGTCGCTCGCGGGTCCGCTCGCCGACGCCACTGAGACCTCCGTCGCTCGTTGCCGTTTGTCCGAGGCAGGAAGGAGGAGTCGAAGGAGCCGATCGTGGAGGTGAAGACGGAGGAGGAGGCGACGGCCAACCACGAGGATGGCGGCCCGGCGAGCGAGCCCACCGAGACCACGCCGCTGACGCAGCCCGAGTATGTCCCTGTCGGTCGCATCGTTGCAAACCGCGACCGTCACCGCTCGCTGCCTCTGCTGCATCTGTCCTTGCGCTGTTACACCGTTCGGCTCAGGCCGTGGCTCCGGCTTTGGCTCGGGCTCAAGCGAGCAAAGCCAAAAGCCGTGCTCAACTTGAGCCGCCTCTGAACATGCTCCCGAGTCATGCTCGGGATGTACGTGCGTTTGTACGTTCGTGTGTTGAACTTCTTTCGCGCACGTACGTAGCCAACAGTGCTAATCGGAGGTGCGGAGTGGGGATGAGAAAGACAACAAACTGAACTCAAATAAAAGATTTCCCGTGACGCTGAGGGCCTGAGCCCAAGGCATGGCTGAGCCACTCGTATACCTTTATAAGCGACTGAGCTGCACGAGCTTGAGATGAGATGTGTTCGTGGCCAAGCCAGAGCCGAGCCACAACTAAAGCTCACAGTGTTGAGATTGACAACGTCCAGGAGGGGCGGCTGGTGCCTTGTAGGTCACCCCGCTGAGTCGTTTGTTGTCCTTCCCCCGCATCTCCAATTAGCACGGTTGACTACGTACGGTGCGAAAAAAGTTCTACATACAGATGCCGCTGAGAAATCTGGGTTAGGATCTGGCTATTAACGCAGACTCTAGTCGTAGAGGGGGTTGACGGTGTGAGTCTGATCACTTGATTTGACCGAAATCAATGTACGAGGCGTCTGATTGATTTGGGACAAATAATCTCTTGCAGGAAAATTTAAGGTGTGCCCCCTTAGCATAGGTAAATGAGTGTTCTGTTCAGAAGACGATGATTGGTGTCGATGAACACATCGACACGGTGGATTTCACAAAGTAGTTCCGGTGGCATCTCGCGTGCCCTTTGTGCTGACACAAGGTGATGCACCGCTAGCTGCAGAGCTCCGAATGGACATTTTCTTCACCCACATGACACGATGCCAATAACACATTTTTTTATAAAAAAAAAAATTGGGGGAGGGGGGGGGGTGAGAGGATCTAACTGTTTGAGTAAATTACAGCAGTTAGAGCTCATGCCACGTTGTCGGCCTCTCCACCTTGTAACGCCATACCCCCTCCATGTGCTGACTCTTTACCAACCTTTAAGCGCCTTCTCAAAAATACAATCTCTTCAGTTGACTTTTACTGAGCGGATCTCAGAGCTGGGCTCGCCCGTGCCTCAGGGTCTCTGCCTTCGGGCAAGTGGAAATTGTGCTCGTTACAAATTAGCATCGTAGTTATTAATACAGCCATCTACTTATTGTTATATGGAGCTGGAATCTTTAACACGGCTATCACGTTCACTTTAAATAACCTCCGAACCAAGCCGGGTTTTTTTGGACCAAGAGATTTGTTTATGATCCCTGGCAAGAAACGGCTCACGTCATTATGCATTTAATACGATAAAGTATATGACGGTGAGGTGTTTTTTTTATGTGAAAACATAAAATGTAACAATTAAATCACCAGGCTTCGTGGCACTATTAAACCAAGCAAAACACTCGGCTTTAGAAACGATTTTTTTTTTATTTGAATGTCACCACCGTCTTTCAGCGCATGTTGCCAGATGGGAAACGTTAGTTTATTGTGTGTTGACAATTCCACACTGGAAATTTTTCTTCACGTTGGCGACAGAACGGCTTGCGCAATGTGCACTTAAAGTGACATTTTACGGAAACCAATTTGGATGTAGCTCTGAGATGCTCGAGAACCAGTTGTGAAGCAATTAGACCACAAATATGTCTGTACGGTGTGGTGCGTGTGCGTGTTGAGCTAACGGCACTTGCCCCAACAATCTGTTAAGGCTATATCGGGGGATCTTTGTCTTTGTGTGTGCCAAATATGTTATTGCAGGGAAGCGCGCACAAAACATACAATATTTCATCATTCTCTTATAAACACAATGTCACACTGCATATTATGCCGAGTTTCCGGGCATTTGTCTCATGCAGGCTAATTGCATTTTATCTTTTTATTTGCCATGTGTCAGTTCGTTATCACCACCATCACCATCGTCACACAATCGCGACACCAGCAGATGCCATTCCTGGAAACGGTGGCTGTGCTCTTTAACAAACAAAATAATCAAATACTTTCTCCCAAGAGAAAGGGTTACTCGTTTTATCATGAATTTTAACCAAATCTGTGATGTCCTTTAAAAAAGTCAATGAAGCTGTTGCAAATAATTACTTTTTAAAGACAAGTGAATGTGTGGTTTTCTCTCTCTCTAACATAGCATTTTCTGAGATCATTCTCTTACCAAATTAAATTAAATTGCCCACATAATTTAGTTTGTTTTGCTTGTGTTTAATGTCCCATTGCATGTGGCGCCGATGTTCCACACGCCTGCACACTGTGTTTAATGTCATAATGTCCTCGTTACGTTGAACCTCCACCCCCAAACCCCTTGGTTATATTTGGATTTCTCTTCACTTAAGTGTAACTGTTTCCTCGTGGCTAATTTGATTGTCATGCCATTCACACGACAATCAAAACCGAAAATGCGTTTAGGATTTCAAACAAATGTTAACATTTAAAAGTCTCGAGAAGGAAATAGCCAATCCCTGCGCCATGCTAGCTTTCCCATAATGCTCATGGGTATAATGATGCAGGCTGCTGTGAACCTACAAACGTATTCAGCTGCACAGATATTTGTTGAGGAGGTGGACACTGGCTTCACAGCTTCAGAAGCTTCGTGGAAAACAAAACAAATGTGTTTAATTGGGCTAAATTGCACCGATGCAGTCGGACGTTGACATATTTCACGGTGATTTGCATCTAATTTACCTTTCAATTGTACAATAACAAGGACAGCTAACACGGCGCGCAGATTATAAGCACTGAAACGTTAGTTCACGTTCGCGAAGGCTCATTTATTTTCGCATTAAATAGATAGAGGAAAATTTTAAAACACATTCGTTACGTGATATGTATATGGTGTTCTAAATAAATGTCCACTGTGTGTTAGCTGACTCCTGCGCCCATTGTTACGTTTTAAATACATCGTGCAGACAACAGGATCCGCATGTGCACTTCCTTCGTGTTCGTGAGTTTTTTTCATTTGGCAAAATCACTGCACATTTGTTATTTTCTGTGGTTAAACACGGCACGTCTTAATCCAGAGTAAAAAAAAAATGCGTTCTTTACTTTTTAATGAAAATAACACGAATTATATTCTTCGCAACTTTTCATTTTTATGTGGTTCAATGATTCGGAGTGGTTTCAGATGAGTTGAATGCCCTTGAAAATAACAACACAGTTATACATGTTGTGCATCAGGCTTGCAATAAGGCCACTTTTTAATATGTTATGCATTCTCATCCTGTTGAATTCTAAAATAGTTTCGTCGTGCGTAGTTGTTAAATTGTAATGAAATCGTAATGTCAGAAAATAAACACAGACGACACTTTAAGAATGCAACGGCCTTAAAAATCAATAAGGGCTGCAGTTTAATAGACAAAATAGATTAAAAATACCATAATAGACTCCGCAAAACCGAACGGACAAAGCAAAACTACCAGCAATTGAAATTTTTATGCGCACATAATAATGATATTACATCATGCTGTAACCAGTGGCGCGTAAGCAATAACCCTTCATTTTAACCAGGTCAATATCCACCAGGACAGAACTTTCTCTTGTAAGTTGAAGGAAACGTTTGCGTTTGGAATTTGCCAATGCCAATGTGGTCTTTATTATACACGTCTTTCTTTAGATGGCATGCTTTGGTAATTCCCTGCGAGCGTTGCTCGGGATTGAACCAAGAGCACCACGTGGAGAGTGGCTCGCTAAAAGTCGCTTGGGCGGCAAATGTTGAAGCGTCCGAAGACACTGGCGACTTTCAGAGTACTTGACTCAGGGTTGTGTAGATAGTGATACAGATGTATGGCTGAAAACAGCCGATTAATTAATTAAGAAATGTTCCACTATCACTGTCGCATCTAATTAAATGTCAAATTAAGTTAATTCAGTGCACTGGGTCCACAAAAAGATTGATTTATAATTTAGGAATTTTAATAATTCAGCAATAAATTTTAGGCTAATGCTTTATGAGCTTTTTTATAGTTTGCTTTGACTATATTTCACGGTTTATTTTCTAGACAATGAAAGAAAAAGCAGCTCGTGGTGCTGCGCTGGAACATTTAGTTTCAACACTGTGCAGTGCATGCCATTAATCACTTGTCAGAAACCATATTACATTTATGTTGTACAATCATATTTTGTTTATTAATGGTCTTTTTTATTTGGTGTATCTCTGTGTTCAAGTGTATATGTGGGTTTTGCGACAAATTATTGTGCTTTTGTGACGTAAAATGTCTGTCCTTCTGGTTTTCCACATCTGTCGGCTGTTTTTTGTCCAAATTTTTCATCTGATTTCCATCCAACGTGTGTCTGAACAACCCCTCATTCAAGTGCCCGTTCTGAACCCACACACCATCATCGGGTCCGAGAGCGTGTGCAAACCTGCACTCCTCCTTCCTCGTGTGCACACGTGCGCAATGTGTACACGTATCTCTCTTTCTCCTCCTCCTCCTCCTCCTTCCGCCTCCTCCTCCTCCTCTCTTCCTGCTGCCCGCTCGTTCCGGCGGACGCCTTCGTTCGCTGCGACCAAACAAATGGCGCAGGCGCAACGCGGACACCGCGGTGACGGTCATCGCAGACCCCATCCCTTCCGGTAACGCCGGCACCGCCACCACTACCACCAACTCCGAGGCGTACGTCACCGCGGGCAGCAGTCCCGCCAGCGAGATCGCTCCCACGGCATCGGCCGAGAAGGTCTCCACCGCTTCCGCCGCCTCGCTGGCGAAGATCAAAACCAACGCCCCGGCGAGCCCGACCGTCGCCGCGGCGACCGGGGCGACCTCGTCCTCCGAACCAAAACCGGGCGACCCGTCGTCCATCAAGACGAGCGCGGCGTCGCCCGGTGGCAAGAACGCCGCCGCCGCCGCCGCCGCCGCGGCGTCTCCCACGACGAGCGCCGCTCCGGAGCAGGAGAAGCCGAAGAGTCATCCCCGAGCGCCGAGCTCCGGCTCTCCCGTTGTCACGGCGGCGACGCCGAGTCCCAAGTCCCGTTCGGCTCCGCGGCCGCCCGGGGCCGCTCAGGCCGGCGCGGCAAGCCCGGTGGCGGCGACAGCGGTGGCGGTTGGGGCAGGGGGGGCGACTCCGGCGCAAGCCGCTCCAACGGCGGAAAAGAAAGCGGACACGCCGAAGGAAGACGGCGCGGCCACGACTGCCCCTCCCGCTGCGTCCCCCGTCGTGAATCACAGCACCGGTGGCACCAATGCCGCGGCCAGCCCTGCGAAACCTCCCGTGGCCACCGCGGCCGCAGCAAGTGCCGCCGGCCAAGCGCCGAAGCCGGAGAAGCCGGCAGAGGCGAACGCAGGGCCGAAAAAGGACGTCAAGGCCGAGGAGCCATCGGGCGGAAAATCTTCGGCGGCGGGGGCCGGAGGCGGCGGCGGCGGCGGCGGCGACAGGGACGGGCCGGTGGACGGACTCGGGGAACTCGACTTGGCTAGAGACGTTTTCGCGGCGCTCGCGGCAGCTGGGGAAACGTACGCCAGCGCTCGATTTCCTGCTTCATGTCCGTGCCGTGCTTTCGTGCCCGTGCAGTTGCCTCCGCTCTCCGTGTCGTGATGTGGCTCCGTGTCGTGATGTGGCTGTCGTGCGTGTGGTCAATGGAGGTGCTTGGAACCGCCGTGTCCGGTCGTGCGGCGACGCCGTTAATTTTATTTTCTCGATTTATTTTTGTTGATTTATTTTTCGTCTATTTAATTTGTTGATTTATTTCGGTTGATTCGTGAGCTTTGCTCGTTGTTGTAGATCACCATGGGCCCCGATGACGTTCGGTCGATCGTCGAACGCCGCTCGCGTAGTGAAGTTGGTTTTTTTCTTCTTCGTGCGGTTTGGTTTTCTGAGAATGATCTTGTTTTATCTCTTCTGCACATAGTGTGTGAGTTTATTAGTACGTGGAAAACAAATGAGGATTGAAAGCCAGACCTAAACCAAATAAGAGAACGATTCAGTTTTCGTGTGTGAAAAATGTGCCTTTTGTCATCACCATCATCATCACCATCACAATGCTGTTTTCCATATTTTAAAGCATGTGCATGCTCATTTGTAGCTCCTTTTTACATTAATTTTATTACATACAGTCATTTATATACGGTTTATACTCTTGTCAGGCTTTTTCACACGAACTAGACAGAGTGCCGCATTAAATTGAAGGGTTGCATTTTGTAATGGAGCAAACACACGAGTTATGCACATTAGGGTTTCAATTGCCATTGCTCGCAAACAAACACGCCCTTGTGATTGCAAACAAATGTTAACTCGTGGTTGTCGTGTGTCGCTGTTGTTCTTGTCATTGTTCTTCTTGTCGTGGGATTTCTGCGATGAATGCAGGAAATCTCCGGCAAAGGAGGAGCCGTCTGAAACCGTGACGGCGCCCCCTGCGCCCGAAGTAAAAGCCGACGACGTGGAGCTCAAGACGGTCCCCAACGAGGCCATCCAGCCCGTGGCCAACCAAAACGAGAGCAAGGCATGATGGGATTTCCACTGCCGCCACCACTCCCGCGCCCCCCCCACTCCCATCCCCGTCCACTCAGTCGCCTCGCTCCTAACTGTCCCTCCCCGCCCCACCCCGAAGCAAATTTCCTGACCCAAAACGATTTTTGGTTAATTTTTAAGGCGTTCTGTGTTGTGCACGCAATTTGTGAGATTCATCCTCATCTAACCCACCATTCCTTCCTTCCTTGTGCAACAAAAAAATAAACTCCTAGGTATCCCAAACATTTCCCCACAATTCTTTACTGCAAGGAGTCCATAGTAGCTCCAAATTACAAAACCCAGCGGCATGATGGGAGCTCGCTTACTTTTAGCCTGTGGTTACGTGACAACATTTAAAAAAAAAAAATTACGATTGAAGTCGTTTTAGCAATTTTTTTCGGGAAGTATTTTTTTTTAGCATAACACCTGAAGTTGTTAGTCATCTCACTGTACAAAATAATATTCAAATTGCGTTTATGAGATAACACCCTAAAAAAATACCATTTTAATGTTAACACATTCCATGGTCATTATAAATATTTTTTCGCATGCGAAATTTTTATTTACTTCCCAAGATTCGTTTTGAGTGTAATTATTGGCATGTTTTCGAGCTGTCATTCTTAAACAAAAAGACGAGCAGTGTATCCGTAATTTTCATGGAAATGTTGATGTCTTAAACATTCATTCAACTTTCAAAAGACTGCTTCACGTGTAATTTTATTTTAACAAGATGTCAATGCTATTTAGTGGATTTTACATTGTTTTGTAACAAGTTAATCCAAAGTAAAAAAAAAAAAACCCACCCATTTCACATTAAAAGTTACTTAGAGAATAGTTATTATGGCATACTTTTAAAACATCAATATTTTATTTTTACAAAAAACATTCCAGTGTAAGAATTGCTATTATAAGTTCCAAATTGGGCTTGTGAGCGAGAAAAACAAAGCCGCCTATTCCGTTCTTAATTGTTTTTAAGAGAAGGTCGCCGCCCCCATCTTCGGCACATTTTTTTAGCCAATAGTTGCTTACAAAAAAAAACTAAAACAAAAAAATAAATGTTAAAAAGATTCCACTTAAAAACTGGCATATTTTTTAGGGTTTTTGATAAGAGCAACAGCGACTAGTCGCGTTTTTAAATGTTGCATTTGTATTTTATATATTGTTTTTTGCGTTCATTTCCAACCCAGGCTTACAACTCGAACAGTGCCATCTCTCAATGATTGCGCGTACATGTCTGCGTACAGAATATGTACTTATAATTAGAAACACGCAAACACACACACGAACCCTGACCTAAAAAACCGAATACATAAAGTCACGTATTGTGTAGCGTGTGTGCCAGCCATTGATTTTGTTTTGATTCCCAGAGAGGAAAATCGAAAAACGAAAATATTTAAGCAAGTGTTGACGTGCTTTTGTACTTATACGTACGAAAACATTTTCATCATCTTGGTTCTTTTTGTTTTTACAATTTATGGTAGCTTCGAATGTTCTCCTTAATTTTTATTTTTTAATACAAAAGTACTTTCTATTTCTAAAAGGATTATTTCATACTGCATGGCCTGAAGTTTTTTGGTTTCGCAACGTGCGTGTACGTGCCAGGATTTTGTAAGGTTTCCGTTATTCAAACAAATGTTTATTTCACAGTGTTTTTGTCTATATGTATATTTTAAGACATACATACGGCGTTGCTTGAGGTCTGGTGCCTGTTTTATTTTTTAATCCAACATATATTCCAATTAAACAATCGGAATGCACGTAATGATGCAATATTTATGAATGATTTATAAAAAAATGTTTTCGTTATGAATCAAAACAACAAAGCCATCATTATTAGCAGAGTGCTATCACTGCCCAATTTTTCAGTCGCGTGGCAATAGTACTTGATTGAATAATCCCGCTAAATTTGTTTGGGAATGTTTGAAATCGGGAAAGAAAAAATATAAACCAATTATTCAAACGCCGATCTAAATTACAACTTAAAATTGTATAAACTTGCAAATCTCCTTAGTGCAACAGACCTTAAGTAGCTTCCATTGGCTGGGAAAAAAAACGTTGTATTATTGTGAAATGTGTGTGCGCGCGCGTGCTGTATGCTTGAAAGTATGCTGAGGTTTAGAATGCAGGCTAGTGGTATAGAGCCTTACCCTTGCGTAGCGTTAGCTCATAGATTATCCAAGGATTGCAATGTCGGGTTGTTAACTTAATATCAAGGATACATACAAGACTCGTAGAAGTAAGACGCACTTCATTGTGTCAAAAATAATAACAGAGTACATTTGGAATTCATAGTGCAGGGCTGTCACATGTTTGTATGTATATTGAACTTATTTCGCACCGTAAGTAGCCAACCGTGCTAATCTGAGGTGCGGAGGAAAGACAACAAATTAAACATAAAAATACGTTTTAAAGGAATGAGTCTTCAATCTGGACTTAAAAGTGCATAGCTCCAGTGGCTTCCTAATTGCGTAAGGAAGAGCGTTCCAGACGGCCGCAGAAGCGTATCCGAAAGCGCGCAATGCAGTGACCGTCCTTATTCGATGGCTAGCTAAGAGCCGCTGCGAGGATGACCAGAGTTCACGTGATGGTCACAAAGGTTGGTGATATGTTTCACAGACATAGTCTGCAGTAGCTTCACGGTGGGGGGAGGGGGGGGTGGCAGTGTTTGCTGCGTGTTAATCCCAATTGGGTCATTTGCAAAAATGTGGATCTTAGGCGTCGTTCAAAATGGCCTCCAAACGATGCCACGGGATATTTAACGTCCACTGTTGAAGCAGATGGCAGTATAATTTTACAGTTAATAGACCTGCAGTTATAACCAGGGACTGCCTTCCGAATTTGAACCACAAATATCTGCAACAAGCGGTAGGCAACACACTACAGCTCGGCCAAGTCCACCGCGCCTTGCTGTCCCAGGAGTATACATTTTATATTGTGCCAGATTTTCTTATGTATAGTTCTCTAATCAAATGTGGGTTGTATTCCATGACCTTGGAATGGTCTTTGCTTGAGATTCACATTTAAATGTGGATTGGTTTAAAGAATGAGAAACTGCAGTACCTATTTTAATGTCTTCACATATCCATATGTGGCAGACCCTGGACAGTTGAATCTGACATGTCTAAGTGTGAAAGTGCTGGTTAATTGTCCTCACAACCCACCAGTGCTTGTTCATCTATTCCAGTAAATGAGTAAATCGGTGTAACTTATTTAAACATTTATGTGTTACCTCCCACGTGACTTACCTCCCACGTGATGAGAACCGGCTTAACAATGTAATTGGACTTAATGCTTAGCTAAAAGTAGAACGAATGGCAGTTGTAAATGTTGTGGATTTACTCTCAAACACACCGGTGGGCTGAAGTAGTAACTAATTCGCGCTTTGTTTACGTGACAAATCCTTTACTAATTGGCTGTGTCGGGTGGTGGAGGATTTCGACGCATTTATACTTACGCGATCCAACCCAATAACCTTGATTATGAATAATATTTGTCGCGAAAGCCTAGGTGTTAAACTCATGCCAGTTATTTGAACATACCTCTCACCACGCTCGTTAGTGCGGGTTGGGGGCAACGACCGGTCCAGGTAGAACTCGCCACCGAAGTTGACCGTGACTGGAAATCGAACTTAGGTTTGCCGGGTTTATTGTGCAGCGAAATAACCATTCCACCTACCGGTTGCTAAGCCATAGAAAATAACACAGGTGCCATGTGCGAAATTATTCCACCCCTCCCCCCCCAAGGCAGTCCGGTATACTATCCTTGATTTTTAAGTGCAAGTGAAGGTTTTGTAATATTAATAATTGCAAAAGGTGTTGCGAAAGTAAGTAGTTTACGTTTTCTCTCTTATTATTATTTTTAAACATGCGGTAGTTTAGCAATCTAATCCCTGTGTAATTAGTTCACGTGTGCCGGTGACGTCGCTCGATGCTGGTTTAAGGTGTCCGTGTTACGACCAAGCTCTGCGTTTTGCTGGCTTTGTCGTTTTACATCTAGGGGGTTTGGAGGAGGAGGCGAAAGGCGAGACAAATAAAAATCAGACACCATCTGCATTCAAATGCAGAATAAACCAGTTACGCTGACCTGTGTATTATAGACGAGTGTGCATATTGTAACTTTGAGCAACGCCCAGCTGCCGAAACGGACCCGATCTCATTGTTAGCAAGAACAACAATGCCACGTGTTGCTTTTTTTCTCTTAGCGAGCGCAACAAATTCGTAAATGCGGTGAGGATAATCTTGCCAGACAGTGGGTCCCCGACTCGTTCACTTCTCGCCGATACAGCCGAGGCCGCCGGATGATGTTAATATAAATGTGTTTGTTTCTGCGTGCATCAGTAATGATAGAAGTAATAAAACACACCGCGAAATTTGAATGCATTGTCATTTGAACGACGTCGATGTTCGCTTGGACGTTTATATATATTTAAAAAAAATCGTCGCCCCGGTAGCCACGGTCATGCGCCGTCCGCTTGGCTCACATTCGCAGGGAATTATTTTTGTTGGTGGAAAAGCTTGGCTCAAAACACCTTTGACGCCATAGAGCGGCTTTCTTCGTTGCAAGGCCTGGCGGGCCACTAGTGGCCCCTGACTTGCGGCCATCGAACAAAAAACACAAATGGTGACAACACCCCCCATCATCATCGTCATCGTGCTGCTGTCAAACCCAACAGTGGTTTAAAAATGTGTGGCAATCCTCACACTGCTGATGATGCCTTATCGGCGAAAGTGACCCCCCCTCCCCCTCTGAGAATCAGTGAACAACATTGCCCTAGACATTATTCCCATTAATTTACAAGCACCGTCTTGCGATCTGAAGAATGCATACTGTGCGGCTGTGTGTTTTTGGCAATTGCCCGTGCCTGCGACAGTGTGCGGAGACAATGGGCAAAGGCATCGTTCACGACAGTTTTTTTTTTAAAGCGTAAAAACAAACCGGTCTCCTGTGTGTGGTTAAAAAAAAATCTAAACAACCTTCAACCTTTTCACCCTTCTACTCTCATGTTTGCTTTCGGCTCTGAAAGGGCAGCGTCAATGTCCGAGACGCCGTCTTGGGCAAGGGAGGCAGCTGTCTTGAACAAGGGAGGCAGGCTCCTTTGCTCAAAAACCCACTGGCGCCATTTGCTTCGCTGAAAAAGTCACATTTTTGTCAAAGGGTGGTCGACCCTTTTTATCCGTCGAATGGAAACACTCGAGCATAATCGAGGTTTTTTTTTATTAGTTCGATCGCGTTTTTACGCGACCTTTACCGTAAATCGCGATTTACGCGATCTAGCCCCCCCCCCCCCCAAAAAAAAAAAAACCTCTTATGGATGATATTGGTCGCGAAAGCCTACGTGTTAAACGGAAACATCTCGAATCGGGACAGTTCATGTGAAAGCGCTTGGGAAAAGGATAACGAATTCTGTCCTTCGTTTTCGTGTCGGCGTGACGTAGCTGGCAATTGCCTAAAAACTGATTAGAATGAAATAAAAAATTAAGAAGACGCCCGGCTGTCTCTGAAACCACGGCGCTGTGTCATTGAGGTCACCGCTTTTTTGGACTCAGAGCAAACAGGCTGCGTGGAGCTAACGAGCCAGACGGCGCTGTCAAAACAGAGCTGTGTTTGTCAAAGTTAATGGCATATAGAGTAGCGTATTTGTATTCGGTAATGAAACAAACATATCTTAGCTTGTACGATTAAAAAAAAGGGGGGGTGAACCTTCCCCCACTCACCGCTTGCTCACCACGTGTCGTGCATCTGACCAGGGTAGCGTGCAGTTAGTCAGCAATGCTGTGATGCTGATGGCAGTAAGACAATGGGCACAATATTACTTAATTTTACCTGTACTTCGGATAAAGTAAGATGAGCAACAGAAGTAGCACACTGATTGTCAATTGATATGCCTATGCGCTTGTTGCAAAAACAGGGTTTGTTAAGATCGTGGTTCCTGTTTCTTCTAATCTGCTTTTTTTCCTGGATTCAAATATTCGTCTTGTGGTTTCATTTTTTGAAGGGGGGGGGGGATACCGTCAATACCAAGGGGAAGTGAAAACGATGTTCAGAAAAATGGGAGGCTTGTCTCGTGAACGCGTTCTGTAAAAAAAAAATAGAAAAATAACAAAGCTGCAGCCGTCTCTGTTGTTCAGATGTTGTGTCAACAGATTGAGTTTATAGTTGTGTTTCTTCTGTGCATGTGATTTTGCCGGATGCAAACGGCCAATCTCAAAATTGTACCCACTCAACAGCTCGTCCACCATCCACAACGTCCGCTCGCTCACTCACCCACCGACCCACTCACCCATCCACCCACAACCACCCACTCACCTGCCCAGTCACTCGCTCAACCACTCATCCATTCACAACCACTCACTCACGTACTCAATCACTCTATCAACCACTCGTCCTTTCACAACCACCCACTCACCTGCCCAGTCACTCGCTCAACCACTCGTCGATTCACAACCACTCACTCACGTACTCAACCACTCTATCAACCACTCGTCCTTTCACAACCACCCACTCACCTGCCCAGTCACTCGCTCAACCACTCGTCGATTCACAACCACTCACTCACCTACTCAATCACTCTATCAACCACTCGTCCATTCACAACCATCCACTCACCTGCCCAGTCACTTGCTCAACCACTCGTCGATTCACAACCACTCACTCACCTACTCAATCACTCTATCAACCACTCGTCCATTCACAACCACCCACTCACCTGCCCAGTCACTCGCTCAACCACTCGTCCATTCACAACCTCTCACTCACCTACTCAATCACTCTATCAACCACTCGTCCATTCACAACCACCCACTCACCTCCCCAGTCACTCACTCAACCACCCAGGCAACACCCGCGTCGTCATCCGCACCTTGTTGCGTTCTTCTGTAAATACGTTTGAAAAATTCATCCGGGACACCAACAACTACAACAACCCCTCTTCATCGAGTGCAGTGTGTGTGTGTAGGTCACCGTTATCAAGTAGCATATATTGCCACCGTGAAGAAGAAAAACAGATTGAAACAAAAATAAAATAAATACGAGGAAAAAAACAACTAACATGTTTGAATAAATCTGAACGCAATGAGGAATTCTGCAGCATGCTTGTTTTCATTTTTACATGCCTCTATCATGTCCGTTACCGATTAAAACCTAAAACATTTTATTTTACCAGGTAAGGCCCACTGAGCTGTACAGTTATATTTTTTTTTGTTATCACAAATGATAGCTCAACGAAGCGGCTTATCATGTTGAAATTTATAGCAGCCCAATACTGTAAACGCATGTTGATTCCAAATGTGGAGGGAACTGGAGGACCCGGCTCACATGAGTGGCGAGTGATATTGATCCAGAGTGTCTCCAAGAAACTCACACGGATCATGCAGAGTGGTCTCGCCTCATGACACTGCATGGAGAAGCCTGCTCGCAGTTTAAGCTAAAAAACAAACTTATTATTTCGCAGATAAGGCCCACTTGGGGCTATACAACTCTTTTTAAATAAGTGACCTGGTCAGAAATGATGTGCTCAACGAAGTGGCTTAAGTGGACATTTATTGAAGCCAAATACTCAAAATGCATGTTTATAAATGTGGGGGGAAAACCCGGAGGACCCAGAGAAAAATCCACACGACCACGGGGAGAACATGCAAGTTTCAAATATACAACAGGTGTCAAGGTCAGGATCGAACCCACGACCTTCTACATACCAGACGAGGTAGTTAACATCTCGCCACCGTAACAACCTAAGGTTCTACTCAGCACATTCGTATTTATACAATTCAAATACTTAATGTTATATAAGAAATGCTTTTAGATTTAAATTCCGAGGCCCCCATCGACACGAACAACACAATACACCTGGCAAAGCGCCCTCATAACAATACCAACGCAAAGCAAGCAACTGGGCAGATGGCACAAAAAAACCATCACAACCACACACCTGGGTGAGCATCTCTGCCGAATGAATGTGGAATTTTGACCACACACTCAAGACAACTAAGAGCAGTCAGGACGGCCCAGCATTTGCAAGAGCATCGGATTCAATGATTTCACATATGAGATTTTATTCATGGTTAATATATTTTTTTACAATTACTTTTCAGCCAAACATTTACAATTGTAGTGGGTCGCAAACCCCCTTTGCGATACTGTCATCTCTTAGACCAATATGTTGTACATCGCAATGATATATTGTGTGAGCCACCAACCCCACCTGCAAAAGAGATTAAATAATATCGGAGTAATAATAATGTCTTCGATTTAAAGCTTTCGTGACTGCAAGTATTCATCTTCTTTGGTTCTTTCGGTAAAGTCGCGTAGAATGAGAATAAAATAAAACAATGAAATTCTCACGACGTTTCGGCCACAACACAAGTAGCCTTCTTCAGGTGAAGGAACAAAACTGTCGGGACGACAGAGCTTTAATGAACGCTGCTAAGATTCGCAGCGTCTTTTTAAGCGGGTTGAGAGAAGTGAGGCACCTTGACAAAGGGGTTTACATATCAAACAGGAGAATTTATCATTGAAATAGCTGGGGGATTAGCTTGTGACTGGTCACAGAAATAGCTATGTTAAAGTCAAAGCCTACACATCCACAGAGGCACCTAGTACAAATCAAACAGGAGAATTTAGCATTGAAATAACTGAGGGATTAGCTTGTGACTGGTCACAGAAATAGCTATGTTAAAGTCAAAGCCGACACATCCACAGAGGCACCTAGTGTATGGACGCCAAAAGGGGGCTGCAACAACTCAAATATCATACAGTAAACCGATGTGAAAAAACCTGAGTCTAAATTACATCAATATAATAAATGTACTCAATATATTCTTCAATAAGCAGAGCTATTAACAGCAACTGGGTATACACTACACTATATAATGAATACCATATAGTAAACAGATAAAAAACTAAAATATAAACTACCTCAATCTTCTTTGGTTCTTTCGGTAAAGTCACGTAGACTGAGAATAAAATAATAAATTGATAAAATAAAATAACACAATAAAATTCTCACGACGTTTCGGCCACAACACAAGCGGCCTTCATCAGGTGAAGGGACGAGACTGTTTGGAGGACAGCGCTGGAGCGAACACAGCCAAGCCCAGACCGCGACCTTTAAGCTTGGCTGTGTTCGCTCCAGCGCTGTCCTCCAGACAGTCTCGTCCCTTCACCTGATGAAGGCCGCTTGTGTTGTGGCCGAAACGTCGTGAGAATTTTGTGTTATTTTATTTTATCAATTTATTATTTTATTCTCATTCTACGTGACTTTACCGAAAGAACCAAAGAAGATAAATCCTTGCAGTCACGAAAGCTTTAAATCCAAAAACTACCTCAATGTTATCAATAAACTCTATATATTCTCCAATCAGCTGAGCTACCAACAATAAGTCCGTGGTGCTGACGTGGAGGGTAAGAATCCACCCATTTTTCGCCATATAGCATCGTGATATATATTGGTAGCTCAACTGATTGGAGAATATATAGAGTTTATTGATAACATTGAGGTAGTTTATATTTTAGTTTTTTATCTGTTTACTATATGGTATTCATTATATAGTGTAGTGTATACCCAGTTGCTGTTAATAGCTCTGCTTATTGAAGAATATATTCAGTACGTTTATTATATTGATGTAATTTAGACTCAGGTTTTTTCACATCGGTTTACTGTATGAGATTTGAGTTGTTGCAGCCCCTTTAGCGTCCATGCACTAGGTGCCTCTGTGGATGTGTAGGCTTTGACTTTAACATAGCTATTTCTGTGACCAGTCACAAGCTAATCCCCCAGCTATTTCAATGATAAATTCTCCTGTTTGATATGTAAACCCCTTTGTCAAGGTGCCTCACTTCTCTCAACCAGCTTAAAAAGACGCTACGAATCTTAGCAGCGTTCATTAAAGCACTGTCGTCCCGACAGTTTTGTTCCTTCACCTGAAGAAGACTACTTGTGTTGTGGCCGAAACGTCGTGAGCATTTTATTGTTTTATTTTATTATTTTATTCTCATTCTACGTGACTTTACCGAAAGAACCAAAGAAGAATAATGTCTTCACTATTAAATTTTGGTCCTGCGTTGGAATTTTTCGCCACGGCCATTCGCGAATCCTTTCGGTGTGTGAAAGGAAACCGGAGAGACACACGTATAGAATAATCCATTCCTGTACTACGACCTACCGAGCAATTATCATCCAAAATCTACAACGCAACACTTTAGAATGCCCAGGCAGTCTCCCAGTCGAGTACTGACCATGCTAAACCCCGGCTTAGCTTGTGATAACTGATGAGATCGGCATGTCTCTCACCCGTCTCGATACACTCGGCTTGTGTTGCACACGCTGTGTTGAAGAGAGAGAGGGGAGAAAGGGGAAAGTGCCAACAAGAATTTCAATTAAACAAACACCTGTGGAACTTTTCACTTGCCTCCCGAGAGACTGGGGGCTGAGCCATGGATTTCCGCTCGCCCCAATCTTGCTGAGCGTTTGAGCCCAAGACGCTAAAAAAAAGGTTGCAATTAACCTATGTCAGTGAGCTCGAAGACTCCACCGCTCTCATCCCCACAGCCCGCGTCTCCAGACAGGAGGATGTGTGCAGTGCATAATTACATCCAATATAGAGACGAATTGAGGGTAATTGCAAACATTGAAAGGCAAATCACATGGGTGCATTTCATGTTACATTTATTTGTATAAAGGCTTGGGAAGGGGCATCCCATCAACTAGTGGATTGACAAAATACTGTAAATAATAATAACACATCTTTGAAGCGCATTTCATCAATAATCTCAAAGCGCTGTAAAAGACACAAGAGGCATTACACAAATGAGAAAAGGCTAAATAACAAAATCAACGCCGAAAGCATTTGCTGAGTTAGCTAAAAGTGGAACGCAATGGAAGATTGTAAATTTTGTGGATTCACCCTTCAACACACCGGTGGGCTGAAGTAACTATTTGGCGTTTTGTTTACATCACAAATCACTTACTGATTGGCCGTGTCGGGTGGTGGAGGGTTTTGACAGGTTAATACTTACGCGATTAAACCTCAAAACCTTTATTATGAAGTTTAAAGATCTTTAAACATTTTCCAGACTCCGAGATCCTGATACCGTGTCTCGTGGGAGAGCGCTTGGAATGTTGAATTATTAATTTTGCGATGATGAAATGCGTCATACGCAAATGCCTGTGAAAAATGATAATAAAAGCTAATTACTGAAATCTCTTCACTTTAAAGGATTATTATTAAAGAGGGTCCTGATTGACATGTTTAGACATCCTGTTTTCAGAAGTTCCGTTGAAGGAAAATCACAGCGCATTCATCGATAAGCAACATACCCTAAACACCACACACACATTGCAGTTTGTGAACAACCTGCTTGCTGTACTGGCCCTTACAGACACCTCAATTGTCCTGCAGATCGGCGTACAGTGAGGGAAAAAAGTATTTGATCCCCTGCTGATTTTGTACGTTTGCAGACTGACGAAGAAATGATCAGTCTATAATTTTAATGGTAGGTTTATTTGAACAGTGAGAGACAGAATAACAACAAAATCCAGAACAATTCATGTCAAAAATGTTATAAATTGATTTGCATTTTAATGAGGGAAATAAGTATTTGACCCTCTCTCAATCAGAAAGATTTCTGGCTCCCAGGTGTCTTTTATACAGGTAACGAGCTGAGATTAGGAGCACACTCTTAAAGGGAGTGCTCCTAATCTCAGCTTGTTACCTGTATAAAAGACATCTGTCCACAGAAGCAATCAATCAATCAGATTCCGAACTCTCCACCATGGCCAAGACCAAAGAGCTCTCCAAGGATGTCAGGGACAAGATTGTAGACCGACACAAGGCTGGAATGGGTTACAAGACTATTGCCAAGCAGCTTGGTGAGAAGGTGACAACAGTTGGTGCGATTATTCGCAAATGGAAGAAACACAAAATAACTGTCAATCTCCCTCGGCCTGGGGCTCCATGCAAGATCTCACCTCGTGGAGTTGCAATGATCATGAGAACGGTGAGGATTCAGCCCAGAACTACACGGGAGGATCTTGTTAATGATCTCAAGGCAGCTGGGACCATAGTCACCAAGAAAATAATTGGTAACACACTACGCCGTGAAGGACTGAAATCCTGCAGCGCCCGCAAGGTCCCCTTGCTCAAGAAAGCACATATACATGCCCGTCTGAAGTTTGCCAATGAACATCTGAATGATTCAGAGGACAACTGGGTGAAATTGTTGTGGTCAGATGAGACCAAAATGGAGCTCTTTGGTATCAACTCAACTCGCCGTGTTTGGAGGAGGAGGAATGCTGCCTATGACCCCAAGAACACCATCCCCACCGTCAAACATGGAGGTGGAAACATTATGCTTTGGGGGTGTTTTTCTGCTAAGGGGACAGGACAACTTCACCGCATCAAAGGGACGATGGGCGGGGCCATGTACCGTCAAATCTTAGGTGAGAACCTCCTTCCCTCAGCCAGAGCATTGAGAATGGGTCGTGGATGGGTATTCCAGCATGACAATTACCCAAAACACACGGCCAAGGCAACAAAGGAGTGGCTCAAGAAGAAGCACATTAAGGTCCTGCAGTGGCCTAGCCAGTCTCCAGACCTTAATCCCATAGAAAATCTGTGGAGGAAGCTGAAGGTTCGAGTTGCCAAACGTCAGCCTCGAAACCTTAATGACTTGGAGAAGATCTGCAAAGATGAGTGGGACAAATCCCTCCTGAGATGTGTGCAAACCTGGTGGCCAATTACAAGAAACGTCTGACCTCTGTGATTGCCAACAAGGGCTTTGCCACCAAGTACTAAGTCATGTTTTGCAGAGGGGTCAAATACTTATTTCCCTCATTAAAATGCAAAATCAATTTATAACATTTTGACATGCGTTTTCTAGATTTTTGTTGTTGTTATTCTGTCTCTCACTGTTCAAATAAACCTACCATTAAATTATAGACTGATCATTTCTTTGTCAGTGGGCAAACGTACAAAATCAGCAGGGGATCAAATACTTTTTCCCTCACTGAACGTGATATCCTGCATGCGAATTGCCGAGTCGCCTGTGCGTCAACCTCGCCTGCAAGATGCTGCACTATTTTTTTGATGTATAACCTCACGATCCCATTTGGAAATCGTCACGATTGTACCAGTAACAACCTTTTATAAACCTCCCCGGGGTAAAACAAAATACGCAGCACTTTGTTGGAACTCAACAGCAGTTTGTGCCCGACCACCGCTGCCTTAGAAATGTGGAATTTCCAACATCGCGTTGCACTCTTGTGAATGGTAAACCACCTCTGTTTACTTTACGCAAGCGGGCCCCTCTGGAAACAATACGTACACACACGCAATCACACCGTGATGCAAATGATTCATAATTGGCTCCAAGCTTTAATTTACCCTCAGCAGTGGGATTGCATGCTGACTCCGCATATGCAATTGTTTTAGCAAGCGCCTTACAGCCCCAAGGCCTCCCGAGTGTGCACGCGCAGATGATAACCACGAGCGCCACAGCCAGACTGGCTTTCCTGGACTCGAATGCGCCCAATATCGTACAGCCCGAAGCTGCTATACGTACACAATGCAGGAGGAGCCCTGGCAAAGGCACGTGCCACGCCACAAACGATTCGTTGTTCTACCACGTCTGGCGATCAATTTGGGGGGAGGTTGGGGGTACATTTACAACGAGTTTGCTGAGGTGCGCTAATTTGTGGCCCTTGATATGGTTGAGCCAAACAAGCAGGGGGGGGGGGGGGTTTAAAAAATATATATATTTCACCTGTTGAATCTATTCCTGATTGTTCAGTTTACGCATATTCCGGGGATCAACAATGTTGTGCCCAAAGACTTTGGTCAAATGTTAAACACGACGTAAGAATAGCATTTATTGTGATGTACGCGGTAGTTTGTTGAGCTGCATAGCATGCTGCAGGTGAATTATCTGCACCCGTGTACTCCTGTTCGTTCAACACATTCTCTCACACGTTTGGTCTCCGCTGCTGAACCTGTGAGTACAGATGGAATTTAATTATTTAATATTTGTACATCATTTACTAGAGCTAGCAGCTCGGAGTAAAGTTACATATTATGAATTGCACTATTATATTCGGTCCAACATTGTTGAAAGACTTCGGTCAAAGATATTGTCAGTTTAACAGATAAGCTTTCATTTTTCGCCTGATGCTAGTTGTAATTATTGGCGAAACGTGGTACTCGAATTGGAAATTTTGGGGGTTTACTCTCCAACACACCAGTGTGCAGTACTAGTAACGAATTGGCATGTGCCGGGTGGTGGCAGGTTTAACCCAAAAACCTCGTATGGACAAAGATGTTGCGTTTTATTTCTGCTGAATCTATGACCAAATGTTCACTGTGGATCAGGGCCCGAATATTGTGTTCGTCTGTATGTTGAACTTCTTTCGCACCGTACTTCGCCAACCGTGATTATCGGAGGTGCGGGGGGGGGAAACAACAGACTAAACGCAAAAATCTGTTATAAATAAATTAGTTTTCAATCTAGATTTTAATAGCGCATACAGCGTAGCTCCAGAGGCTTGCTAATATCATAAGGGAGAGGGTTCCAGACGGCCGCAGAAGCGCAACTAATGCAGCGACCGTACTCAACATATTGTTCAAAACTTTGAGTGCAAAAGGGTAACAGTAATTACGGTTATGTAATTTGTTGAATGGCAAGAATACTTGTGGCAAAAAGCTCCCAGATAATCAAATTTAAAACAACGTGTTTCTACTGCAGAAACGGAGTTGTTGACCGGCTGAATCCCTCGGTGTACAGATAAAATGGAAGTCTTTATTGTTGATCACGAGACATTGAGTGTTTCATTTGATCCAGACGCCTCCATAATTTAAGGGTGCCACCTTTTAGAGTCAAACACTTTGGTGGTCGAACGTCGTTTTTATTGACTTCAGAGTCCTGCATCCTGGAAAATAAGTGGCTATTCAAGAGTTAAAAAATGAGGCACAAATCTGAAATATGTACGGTCCTAACAATATAGGGGTGGCACCCACCCCCCCGCCCCTAGACGGCCGCATTGTTACTGCTCCTGGCGATGATGCTGACATCGTGTCTGGGAGTTGAGGGGTTAGGAAGGCACGAGGTGGTGAAGCGATGTTTTTTGGTCAATTTACGAAGGGCCACAGCTGAAGGTGACGAGATAAAAGTCGATCCTCGGTGATCACGATTGGCATTGGTGATTCGGCGAGACGGGTAAAAACCTGCCCCCCCCCCTTTCCAAGCGTTTTGGCTGGATTTGTCCCAGTGAGATGGTGTATGATTGTGGGCAGGGGAGCTGGGATGGGCAGGGATGAGGGGGGGGGGGTCAGGGCTCTTGGGGGAGGCCGGAGTCCACCGCGATGCCGGTGTAGAGCGCGAAACGCTTCTTGGACCGGACTCGATACCACGTACGATCCAAGCCGTCGTCTGCAGGTTCTGTCCCCCTGAATCGCTCGGGAAAGCTGTACAAGCGCATCAGCGTGACATCACGGGTCAAGACCAAGTATGTGGTGTTTAGTTTGCCAGCAAAGGATTACCGAGCCATGTGCATTGTTTAGTCAGGAGGGGCAAAGGGGGGGGGGGAGGTCATACGTGAGTCTGTTCGGCCACTCCTAAGCTCGTGGGCAGTGTTTTGCGTGCAGGCCGAGACTGAATTCCCAGGTGGTGAAGACCCAGAGTTGTAGAATCGTAAAAGCGCTAAGCAGTAGCCGTGGTGGTACACAGCTGTGTTTAAGTGCCTTGCAAAGAGGAAGGGTTTATACTGGTAGGAACGAAGTTGTAAACTGAGTGTACCAGCCTGCAATAGATTAATGTGTCCGTCCGTCCGTCCCCTTTCAATACTTTAACGAAGTGAAATCTCGTGCTGTTGGATGTAAAATCAGCAGTAGACAGCGCAGAGACTTGTCCTACCAGCCCACCCTGCAGGGACCTGTTTGATTAATTCGGATTTGTGAATCTCTCTAAATCCCACTGTGGAGGAGATATCAGCACGGTACAGCAAGTGGGATCATGAACCTGTCCGTGCGGAACTTTGCGTGTGATCGCGATCTCCTTCCATGCGTGGGTTCACCGTGGGGATCGGTGGCGTGGGGGTCAGCGCTACGCTGCGCTACGAACCTGGCGACCCGATTTCGATTCCCGCTCACGGCCAACACCCAGTGGCCTATTATCTGAACCGGACCTGGGTCTCCTCTAGGTCGACTCGGCCGCAAATGAGTACCTGGTGCGGTGTGTAAACATCGCCACTAGGGGAGACAAAGGCGGCCGGGCGTGGTGCTGGCCACGCATCCCCTCGTGTGCCGTGCCGGCATTTATAGGTGCTCGCTAACAGCACTTGCCCCAACAGTCTGTTAAGGCTACATCGGGGGTCTTTGTGAGTTTTCTCCTAGGCGAGTAATTATTCGTAGCGCCTGGATTTCTTTGAATTACAGGATCACGATTCAGAGTTCCAATTCCAGTTGTACTTTATCGTCTTGAATTTTAGCGTTTCAATGTCAATTATAGAGTTCTGGAATGTAATTGCGTAAATGGTAAACAATCGGTTGTTACGTGCTTAATTAAATGAATGCATTGTGAGAATAACAATTGCTTAAAGCCAATTACTCCGTTAATGATCACAATCTCTAGTTGTCTTAGGATACTCTCGCATGCAAAAAAACAACACTCATTAAAAAAAGTTTCATGAGGCTCTCCTCCCTAATTAAATGCCATTTTAATTAGTAAAAAAATTCATCGAAATTGTTCACGAGTGGTTATCGCTCATCGACGTCATTCAATGTTGCCGACGTCATCCAATTCATCGTCATAGCTCGGGGGAGTGGGGGGGGGGCAACACAACTCTTGTGACGTCAAACGAAACCATCCACTCCGGGGGGGGGGTGGGGTGAACAACATTCATTACGAAGGGATTGCTGTGGCTAGGTAATGAGAGAACGACTGGGAGTGAAGAGAGAACGACTGGGGGTGAAGAGAGAACGACTGTGGGGTGAAGGAAGAACGACTGGGGGTGAGGGGAGAACGACTGGGAGTGAAGAGAGAACGACTGGGGGTGAAGAGAGAACGACTGGGAGTGAAGAGAGAACGACTGAGGGTGAAAGACGAACGACTAGGGGTGAAGAGAGAACGACTGGGAGTGAAGAGAGAACGACTGGGGGTGAAGAGGGAACGACTGGGGGTGAAGAGAGAACGACTGGGAGTGAAGGGAGAACGACTGGGGGTGAAGAGAGAACGACTGTGGGGTGAAGGAAGAACGACTGGGGGTGAAGAGAGAACGACTGGAGGTGAAGAGAGAACGACTGGGGGTGAAGAGAGAACGACTGGGGGTGAAGAGAGAACGACTGGGAGTGAAGGAAGAACGACTGGGGGTGAAGAGAGAACGACTAGGGGTGAAGAGAGAACGACTGGGGGTGAAGGGAGAACGACTGGGAGTGAAGGAAGAACGACTGGGGGTGAAGGAAGAACGACTGGGGGTGAAGGAAGAACGACTGGGGGTGAAGGAAGAACTACTGTGAGTGAAGATATAACGACTGGGAATGAAGAGGGAACGACTGAGGGTGAAGGAAGAACGAGTGGGGGTGAAGAGAGAACGACTGGGGGTGAAGGAATAACGAGAGGGGGTGAAAGAAGAACGACTCGGGGTGAAAGAAGAACGACTGGGGGGTGAAGAGAGAACGACTGGGGGTGAAGAGAGAACGACTGGGAGTGAAGAGAGAACGACTGAGGGTGAAAGAAGAACGACTAGGGGTGAAGAGAGAACGACTGGGAGTGAAGGAAGAACGACTGGGAGTGAAGGGAGAACGACTGGGGGTGAAGAGGGAACGACTGGACGAATAAGTCCGATCTGTAAATGACGAGAACGGGAGAGGGGGTGCAAATAAAACAAAGCATTAAAAACTAAAACAACTAAAAACTAAATGATGAACGAAGCAAAGTGCCGACTACACCGAGCATCTTTTTGTTTCCTCTGATTGTAAAAAAAAGAGACCAAACCCCATGGATTCCAACAAGAACAGAGAAGCCAAGCACGTGTAGCAAGAGCACACGTGGAGCGTGGAGCAAGCATGATGCAGGAAATGCTGCGGCGGTGTGAGCACAATTGCACAACGTGGCGAGTGCTCGAACGCGTTTCTCCGCGTCGTTGTCAAGGCGAAAACGAGAGGGGAGAGCACTTGGCCCGACACTCAGTGCAGGCCACGTGTGGCGGGGAGGGAGGGGTGGCAGGGGTGGGTGGGAGGGAGAGGTGGGAGGGGTGGGGGGGAGGGAGGAAGGGAGGGGATGGGAGGGAGGGGGTGGGAGGGAGGGGTGGGAGGGAGCGAGGGAGGGGTGGGTGGGAGGGGTGGGAGGGAGCGAGGGAGGGGTGGGAGGGACGAGTGGGAGGGGTGGGAGGGACGAGTGGGAGGGGTGGGAGGGAGCGAGGGAGGGAGGGGTGGGAGGGAGCGAGGGAGGGGTGGGTGGGAGGGGTGGGAGGGGTGGGAGGGAGCGAGGGAGGGGTGGGAGGGACGAGTGAGAGGGGTGAGAGGGACGAGTGGGAGGGGTGGGAGGGACGAGTGGGAGGGGTGGGAGGGAGCGAGGGAGGGAGGGGTGGGAGGGGTGGGAGGGGTGGGAAGGAGCGAGGGAGGGAGGGGTGGGAGGGAGCGAGGGAGGGGTGGGAGGGAGCGAGGGAGGGGGGGTGGTGGTTTGGGGGGAGGGGTGGGAGGGGGTCTTCGTCTTTGACGAGAGGCGCTGTTGATGAACGACCTCACCGTGCCAGGTTCTCGTCCTCCGCGTGCTGTCCACGGTGCGCGCGCGTGCTGCTGTAGCGTCCCACCGAAGCGGGTGGGCGATAGATGGCCATGCCCGCGCTCCGTATCCTGCAACGATGCCGTTTGCCGAGTTCATTTGTGCTGCTGTTGCGTGCGTTTTGCTCTCGACAACAATAAGCAGTGCGCCGTTGTACGTGGAACTTATTTCGCCGCACCGTGCGTAGCCAACCGTGGCTGATCGGAGGCGACGGGGTAGTTGCAATAATTCCGTGTGCTCCTGTTTTCGACAGGGACGCGTTCACGTTCAACGTCCAACGCGCGTTCGCGAACGGGTTGAATTCGCGTTTGGACGACGAATGTTCGACTCGCCGGAATGAGTTGCTCACAGGGCGATAAGGGCTCCATGACACATTTCTCCGGGTGAATCCACGTATTTTAACTCCTGCGGTGCATTCAAAAGGAGATGTGATCTTTGCCCTGCGCAGTAAGATAAAGCTTCCGCACCAGATGATATCACTGGAGACATTCAAAGAGGCAAAAGCCGAACTGTCGGATTAAAAACGATGGGCACCTGTTCGGTGGTGCAGTGTTGGCGATTTAAACAAAACAATTAAATCCCTCCAATCGAGGAATTAATCTCATTCTTTAAAGGAAGACGCAGCTGATTTAAATCATTACAAACCCCCATTCGCCGCCTCTCGTACCTGACATGGGCAAGCATTGGCGGTGGTGACGAATGTGCCTCGCAACAAGAAGGGCCCTTTGTGTCCGCCCATTGTCTCCTACTGGCCAGTGCTGTTATCCCCAAGAAAAAAAAGAGATCGAACTTAGCCATTCTGGGCTCATGGCACAGCGCATTAACAATACAACAAGCACTATAGCTAATTGATATATACAAATTTGGTTATCATTCTCTTCCCTCCCCACATCCCTCCACTCCTTCCCGTCCCTCCTCTGTAGCCCTTTCGTGTTCTCAAAGTGCCCCACGGTAGCTGCCACTAATTCCTCAAAAACAAAGATCCCCCCGTATAGCATGAACAGACTGTTGTGGCAAGTGCTGTTAACGAGCACCTATGACGACCAGAACGACACACGAGTGGGTGGCCGGCACCACGCCCGGTCCGCCTTTGTCTCCCTAGTGACGATTTCTTTACGCACCGCTCCAGGTACTCATTTGAGGCTGAGTCGACCTAGGGAAGGCCCAGGACCGGTTCGGATAATCGTCACTGGTGTCGGCCGTGAGCGGGAATCGAACTCGGGGTGGCCAGGTTCGTAGCGCAGCGGGCTGACCGCTGCACCACCGCGGTTAGCACGCACCTGTCACCTGCATACAGTGAGGGAAAAAAGTATTTCATCCCCTGCTGATTTTGTACGTTTGCCCACTGACAAAGAAATGATCAGTCTATAATTTTAATGGTAGGTTTATTTGTACAGTGAGAGACAGAATAACAACAAGAAAATCCAGAAAAATGCATGTCAAAATTTTTATAAATTGATTTGCATTTTAATGAGGGAAATACGTATTTGACCCCCTCTCAATCAGAAAGATTTCTGGCTCCCAGGTGTCTTTTATACAGGTAACGAGCTGAGATTAGGAGCACACTCTTAAAGGGAGTGCTCCTAATCTCAGCGTGTTACCTGTATAAAAGACACCTGTCCACAGAAGCAATCAATCAGATTCCAAACTCTCCACCATGGCCAAGACCCAAGAGCTCTCCAAGGATGTCAGGGACAAGATTGTAGACCTACACAAGGCTGGAATGGGCTACAAGACCATTGCCAAGCAGCTTGGTGAGAAGGTGACAACAGTTGGTGCGATTATTCGCAAATGGAATAAACACAAAAGCACTGTCAATCTCCCTTGGCCTGGGGCTCCATGCAAGATCTCACCTCGTGGAGTTGCAATGATTATGAGAACGGTGAGGAATCAGCCCAGAACTACACGGGAGGATCTTGTCAATGATCTCAAGGCAGCTGGGACCATAGTCACCAAGAAAACAATTGGTAGCACACTACGCCGTGAAGCACTGAAATCCTGCAGCGCCCGCAAGGTCCCCCTGCTCAAGAAAGCACATATACATGCCCGTCTGAAGTTTGCCAATGAACATCTGAATGATTCAGAGGACAACTGGGTGAAAGTGTTGTGGTCAGATGAGACCAAAATGGAGCTCTTTGGCATCAACTCAACTCGCCATGTTTGGAGGAGGAGGAATGCTGCCTATGACCCCAAGAACACCATCCCCACCGTCAAACATGGAGGTGGAAACATGCTTTGGGGGTGTTTTTCTGCTAAGGGGACAGGACAACTTCACCGCATCAAAGGGACGATGGACGGGGCCATGTACCGTCAAATCTTGGGTGAGAACCTCCTTCCCTCAGCCACGGCATTGAGAATGGGTCGTGGATGGGTATTCCAGCATGACAATGACCCAAAACACACGGTCAAGGCAAAAAAGGAGTGGCTCAAGAAGAAGCACATTAAGGTCCTGGAGTGGCCTAGCCAGTCTCCAGACCTTAATCACATAGAAAATCTGTGGAGGGAGCTGAGGGAGCTGAAGGTTCAAGTTGCCAAACGTCAGCCTCGAAACCTTAATGACTTGGAGAAGATCTGCAAAGAGGAGTGGGACAAAATCCCTCCTGAGATGTGTGCAAACCTGGTGGCCAACTACAAGAAACGTCTGACCTCTGTGATTGCCAACAAGGGTTTTGCCACCAAGTACTAAGTCATGTTTTGCAGAGGGGTCAAATACTTATTTCCCTCATTAAAATGCAAATCAATTAATAACATTTTTGACATGCGTTTTTCTTGATTTTTTTGTTGTTATTCTGTCTCTCACTGTTCAAATAAACCTACCATTAAAATTATCGACTGATCATTTATTTGTCAGTGGGCAAACGTACACAAATCAGCAGGGGATCAAATGCTTTTTTTCCCTCACTGTAATTCCATTCTCTATTCGTTTTGTGAGATATGCACCAGCCCCTTGAGTGAAGCCGCTGCGCTCTATAAATACAATTCGGTTAGATCTACTCTTCCGCTGATGCAAGGTGGAGCACGAGTATTTTAGCATTTGGCCTCTGACCAAATCGCAATGAATGTGCTTAATCTTGTCAGAACTTGGAAACTTTACAGATTTAAGCCTGGTAAGTGCTTGGATAGAAGACCGCCAGGGAATATCCAGATGTTATTAGCTTAGACTATGGGGTGGCTAGGATATAGAAACACAGCAATGGATTGAATGTATCTCTGCCGGACCTTTGATTCTTATCCTCTGGTATGCACGAGTCTTTTATTTTTTACCCGGCACTCTGCTGTTATGCCACATGCCAAACCACCACATGGCACTAGCCACATGGCAAAAGCCTACGTGTTTAAACTAAACCCATTAATGGAATTGGCCAAACACAATCATAATCACAACAGAGGGTGTTAAGACTCTTTTGGGAAAACGATGGTAATTAAGGGGAAGTGTTGTGTGTCCTCAAGCCCTTGTGATGTCAGCAAATGTTCTTCCTATCATGCCCTTTTATGCGAGCCCAAAACTACAGCACACAAGTGACCGAGCACGCAAAGCTTTAGTTATGAACCGGTGAAGATGTACGGACGAGACGCAGACGTGCACGGCAAGGATCGGAACTTCACCTGTTGGCAATCTCATCGTCTGCACCGCGGCCCCAGTGATTGCTGGGGAAGCCGTTAATTCTCATGTACTGCCCTGGCGTAAGCGCAGCCACACCTCCAAAATAGCTCTCGTAGGGTAACCTGATCATAACAACAACAACAACAGCAATAATCACCATTATCACCAACAGCAATTTTAAAAATAAAAACGTGTCGGGTGCAAATTGTGCGACTGGTCACACAAGACCACGAAATACCCTCGGCACAATCCGTTGGCCAGGCAATTATGCGTCAGTGGCGGGGAGCGATCGTTCGTTGGTGCGTAGCGGCAACTGCACCTGGGACCCAAGGGCCGGAGTGGGCCCCTTCCATTTCCGAAGAACTGTTTTTTGCGTGTGTGTGTTTAGTTTGTTGTCGTTCCCCCGCACCTCCCGGTTATCACGGTTGGCTACGTACGGGTGCGAAAGAAGTTCAACATAAATGCATGCGAACCACGGTACGCCACTTATCTGCATCGTTTAATTACACTGCGTATGAGCCTGTAAGCGGTTGCACAATGTTGTACGGCTGTACCGGGCTGTGGAAACGTGAGATTACTTTCAAAGCATGATGGGACCTGCCCATTCATTGCAGGATGGGGACTTAATTATGGTGCAATTGCGTCCGTGACATAATGCCACAAGACTGAGAAGTTTCTATCCACAGCTCTTACAACTCGTAGTACATCATCCCGTGTTGGAGAATGACTCTGAAAGATGACGGCACAGAACTACTCATTAGGGTCATCGCAGTGTTTTATTATGCATGCTAGCGGCACATCCTTTTAGATGGCATGCAAAGATAATTAATTGCAAAAAAGCAAAACATTATATTCACAACAAGAGTAAGCCAAATTAATTGAAGAATATCATTTTAATATGATGGGTTTATTTGTGCGGTAATTTGTAATCCAGGTGAGATCATCAACTCTGTACACTTGAGAATCTGGTTTAATCGCGGTGGCTGAAATCTGGATTAAAACCCAGGTGCTAGCTCAGTGCTCTGAACCTCTCAGCCACCCTACCCACTGTTTGACCCAATATTTTTTTTATATGCCTGTGTTTTACTCCTCGGTAGGTAGCCTTGAATGGATGTGGCAACACAAGCTGCAGATATGTTCTGCGGTGTGTAGTTGCAGAACCATCACGTGATAATGAAATGAGACTTTATATTCATAATTTAATTGTGGGACTTGCCAGTGTCTGTTTAACAGTTGTGTTATCCCCAAAGTGTTCACGGAACCTTTATTTTTTGACATCTAAAAGTGTTTGACTTGGGCTACGTTTTTAAATTTACGACTGACCTTCAATGCCTTAATTCTGTGTAATGTCATTTGCGTATCCCCCGCTGAGCACGTGGCACGCATGAGATATTTGGAGACCCGAAACCAATCTCCCAACCGAGGTCGTCGAACGCTGTTGCCTTGACTAATGCTCTTTAAATGGACCTCCAAAATAATTCAAAAAGTATCGACTTGGACCATTGAAGGATGTCAGGCACAAAGGCTGATTGTCACAGTGGGGTCGTTACCCACTCTGATGTGCGGCTCTGGCGTCAATGAGTTACGGAATGGCACGATTCGGAGTCGAATACTGATGGCACAATCGGGACATGGATGGCGAAAATGAAAAACGTTGTTTTTTTGTATATAAAGAGAAAAACGCTCTGTGGGTTTCTCTGATTTCACCGTTTAGCCAGGAGAGCCTCCCTGAATTTCAATGCTCCTTTTTTTTTCAAAGGCCCACACTGGTTTCGTATGTGAAGACGGTGGGGTTTTTTTTTGTCTTGCACTGAAAAATGCAATTTAACCTGCCCAAAAAGATACCGTTTAATTTTTAAACGTTCCGTGATTTTCTTCATTTTTCGAACATTTCAAATATCTCAAGCAACAAAAATGTGAGAAATGAAATGAAAAGTTTTGGTATTTCCACGGTGAAAATCTTCAGTTGGATGTTTTTTTTTTTTTACCTGAGTCAAAGGTCTGAGCGCATACGTGGCTCATCAAAAGAATATTCCATAGGTCCCCGTTTCCGTCCATTTTAGAGTGACCCTTGACTCAATTGTGTCTCGACAAACATTACTCAATCGCTGTGACTGACAATGTCGCAGGTGAGCAATACTTGTTTTGTGTAATGCACGCTTGCGAGGAAACTTGAGTGCCCATAGAAAACCGGCAAAACACGAATATGCCACGATACAATTAGTCCATCAAAAACACCTACTTACTCTCTACTAGCCTATACAAGCACCCACGTCATTGCCGGTTAGAGTCTGACAATTAATGGCTCCAACTCTATCGATGTTGCGATTCCCCTCCCCAGTGTCCAAATTCGTGGTCGCAATGCACTCGTCACTAAAAATTGTAACCGTTGGGAAATCTTCTTCCATCGGTCATATTTGGTGCGAGTATTACGCCCGCAGGAATGCCGTATATCAAGAGTGACATTCCTTTTTATAGGCCCTTGGTCACTTGTGAAAATGTTGGCATGTCTTCATGGTGAAGATCAGTTTCTTGATCATTTCCGCAAAGGGACTGTCAACCTCCCCACCGACGCTAATGCCACTGATCTCCGAGGTACAATCGGCTGAGCACACACTAGAATTTGTCTACTTAGCATAATACTACATTTTATCTCTCCCAGGGATTCAATGAACTCATGATTCGGGGTCACAATTCAATTCTAGCACCGTTCGTATTATTTTTATCATCTGGCCCGTATTATTACTCATTTTCTCTCGTTTGTTCACTCCATTTAAGTTTAATGCAACGATAGGGCATCATTTGTATATAATTTTCACAAATCGTAGACGAGACATTCTTCCAAGCGCAGTCCGATGCCTGTGTAATGAGCTCAACAATTGATTTTAATGGATGGATGATTGAATGTATCCTTGCATGCATAATCTTTCTATGAAATCCTCAAACACTGCTCAAGAGTCACTGGATAGGCGTATTTCATAAGTAGGTGACCTCACAGACGAAATAGGGCGTTGTTTTAAGGTAGAAAGCATGGCTTGTTTATGCAATAAGTCAATGGTCCGGTGTGTACATAGAAGCAATGCACCACCACTATCTTGATTTGAAGCTTTCGTGACTGCAGGAATCCATACTCTTTGGTTCTTTCGGTAAAGTCACGTAGGTATAAAATAAAATAAACCACGACGTTTCGATCGCAACACAAGCGGTCGTCCTCAGGCGGAAAAAAAATATCATCCAGCAGTGGAACTGCTGAACTATCCTAGCGTGGATTAAAAACATAAGTGTGTTCGTCTGAGTCCGGCCGATTCCGTGGTATTTTATGAGTGTCTCACTTGTCAAGAACTGTGGACATTATTTAAATCTCAAAAGACTCTTCTCCATCGAACAACATACACAAGCCATGATCTACTTGACGATTACGCGACACGTTTACCCACGTCTTAAAAAAAAGCATTTAAAAATTTGCATCCGAAATCGTGGAAACGGCCATATTACGAGATAAGTTTTTTTTACATTTAACAGCTGAGGCCACAAATGATAACCCAATGAAGTGGCTTATCACGTGCAAATAGCAACCCGTTACTTTAAACGCATGTTTCTAAAATGTGGAGGGGAATCCCAGAGAACCTGGAGAAAAATCCACGTGACCACAGAGAGAGAGTGAGACGCAAACTCCAAGTATAGAGCAGGCATCAGGGTCGGGATCGAACCCAGGACCTCCTGCATACCAGGCGAGGTAGTTAACATCTCCTAGCCACCGTGGCGCCTACACGTGACCTCTTCCAGCCTTTAATGTGTCGGCAAACAGTCCCCACCCAACCGCCCCTGCGAAGCAAAGCACACAGTTCAAGTTTACGGACTTGTATCGAAACTTATCGATGGCAACGGCCAGGTGTTTGGGCCCCAGTTGAGGCTCGCAGGTGTAGAGGTTGCGGTCATTCTCCGGCAGCAGGTCGACGTCGTGCATGACCAGGCACTCGAACTCCGCGTCGCTGAGCGCTTCCCGCACGCCCACGTTGAGCAGCCAGGCGCGGTAGAACGGCCCGTCCGTGACCTGCGGGCAAAGAATCCGCCCTCCAGTCATAGGGTCCGCGCGGAAGCCACGAGATCGGTCCGGGAAGCACGGGAGCGAGGAGTGGATCGTGGCACCGCAACATTGTAAACTAAACTAATACACTTTTTTCTTTATTTGACCAGGTAAGGCCCACCTGAGATTGTATAGATTTATTTTTTTCAGAAGTGACCTGGCCACAAATGATAGCTCAACAAAGTCTAGTGGCTTATCACAGCAGCCAAATACTCTCTAAACGCATGTTGATTCTAAAATGTGGAGGGGGAAAACCCCCGAATAAAAAATCCACACGACCCAGAAGGGATGGAAGAGAGACGCAAACTCCAAATATACACGCATCGCTCGGGTCTGGATCGAACCCACGTCCTCACGCAGACCGGGCGAGCTAGTTAACGTCCCACCACCTGCTCGGTGCTCCATGCGGCAGGGGCTGGGATAGGCTGTTTGTTTATTGATTTACTTCCCCCGGTCCCACCTGCTGCACGACGTAGACTGTGTACTCGAGCTGCTGGCGCTGCAGCACGCCGTGCAGGCGTCGCAGCAGCACGCGCAGGCGCACGCGGTCCCGTGAGCCCGAGGGCACCACGACGGCCGTGCGGTGTCGTGCCTCGCAGTTGGGGGGCCGGTAGTGACCCCCGCGACGCAGGCCCCCCGGCTGGGCCGCTCGCGTCTCCCCGAGGGACGGAGGCGCCAGGTGGAGGTGGGCGATCGTGAGCGCCGGCATTCTGCCGCCTGTTGGTGGTAAACGCGAAAGGGTTTCGCCAGGGCCGGATTCCCAGAAATTCACCACAAAGTGTCCGCCGCAAAATGAACCACAATGCCTTGCTGATCTCGTCAAGGAGCATAAACAATCACGTGACATTCCGGTCATCCTCGCAACGGTGGCTTTTAGCTGGCCATCGAACAAAGACGACGGTCACTGCATCATCGCGCGCCTTCAGATGCGCGTCTGCGGCCGTCTGGAACGTTCTTCCTTCCGATATTAGGAAGCCACATGCATTTAGATTGAAAACTAATTTCTTTCCAACTTCCGTTTGTTTAGTTTGTTGTCCTTCCACTGCACGTCCGATTAGCACGGTTGGTATTACATACAACAAGGCCAAGACACATGACCTTGGCGATTTGCCCTGATGTCGACAATGGAGATGGCAGCAATGTTTTACGGTTGAAGATCGGGATTGAATGCAGATTTGCGAAGATGGTTGTGTGGCCCTGTACGCGTGTAATGTTAAAGTTGAATGGGACGCAGCTCAGATGGTAGAGGACTGCACGGCTGACTCTAAGCTGTGAAACCGTGGGTGTAATTCTTTCCCACAATTTAATCTTTGTCATCATCATCCTCACTATCCATCATCATTCATTATCATCATGCATTTGCCTTTCTTCGTCCAAGTCTGCCCCGAAACGGACTCTCAGCTGGTCATAAATATTTTACTTGCGCCACTCCCGCCGCCGCCACCACCACCAATCACCATTGTCATCATCAATCATCGTCAATAACTATTTCCGCGGGATTCGTAAAATTGGCCACTACTTTGCGGGACGACGAATCCGTTTCTGTATTTAGAACGAAAAAAAAGCTGCTCCCCACCATAGAAAATTTGGAATTTCAACCACTTGCTTAAAGTTCTCTAATGCCTTAGATGCAGATTTGCTTTATTATTGTAGATGGCATTATACAACTGAAGCAACTGCACTTTAAACAGTCTCGTAGAAAAAAATAATATTTCTACAGTTATTCTTATATGTACTTTGATCTGTGTACATGTGTGTATGTGCGTGCGTGCAACTCTGGTAACATTGTGTCTCGGTAAGTTCATAATTTCCATTTAAGCTGATTATCATCGACTACCCAACCCCCACCTACCCTCTTCCGTATATTTACCTCCATAGTTAATGACAACATCACAATGTCTCTTTCCTCTCGGTCCCATTAAAAAAAAACGCCCGTGTTTTTTTTATATGCTCTTAAGTCTCTCCAAACGAGGTTGAAAGCGCTTATGCGTTAACTCTGCCCGTTTTGTAATGGGGAGCAATGCTTACTCCTGAAAAGACGATCCGATACGAGCCGACCCGTAGTGTGAAGCTGGGTCCCTATTCGGGGCTCGCTATATTGAAAAATTCTCCCAAATTTACGAAAGGGTTAATCACCCATAAATGTGTAGACTTCAAGAAAGGGCACAAATAATTGTTTGTAATGTGAAAAATTGCCATTGTTATCTATCCTGCCTTCCGTTCTGCTAATTAAATCATAAAACAAACGCACGTTGCAAAGCGTTACATAAGCCATGAAAAATGCATTAATTTTTTTCCAAAAACTTTCTCTTCTGGATAAGTTCCCGGAAGAGGAAACTTTACATCGCATTCATTATATAAGCCCAATGTAGAGCAAGCTTGCGTGACGCCGTGCTTACGTAAAAGTGGAGACACCTCCGGGCACAGAGGCAACCCCCTGAGTTCAGGCCTCCCGATCCTCCGTCCGGGCTGGTCCCACGGCCTGTGCCCATCCCAGCGTCTCATCATCGTGGTGGTTGGCGACAGCTGTGCCAGGAGGTCCGATGCCCAGGATGGCACCAGAAGCCACAAAAGACTCCCCAGCAATGCGAGCGCCACGCACGTCCCACACGCAAGGATCCGACACCGCCCTCTCACGAGTATCTTCTTGCCCAGCAGTAGCAGCAGCCTCATGATGTTTCCCACTCTTGTCAGACCGGTGTTACAGAAGCCGTACTCAAAGGTTTGACATTTAGTCTGATTTTTCAGGCCCCCGGGAAATTGCTGGCTCATAGCCGCGAGCTTTGGTATTTTCACTATAAACGTCGCCTCTCTAGTCCCGGTTGGCCTTGCTTTGTAGATATCTTTGCTTCAGGTATGGATACAAAATTGGACAAATGGCTCTTGTAAAAAGCATAGCTGTGTACTGGGGCTCGGTGTTAGTTTTTCTAAGCAAATCTAAACATTCAAATGTTTTTCTCTAGCTTTTTTTTTAGTCTTCGGATAAACCGTGCAAAAAACAAAAAATGTCGGTTGTAAGGTAACTACATTTTTTTGTCGTGGAACTTAACAAAAATGTGTCTGCATGGCGGCCCGCACGCGACAGGCACCCTTAAAATGGAAAGACCGGCACGTGAATGAGCAAACAGCGCGGTTGTTCAACGACAGATGAAGCAGTTTAGCGCTAAGTGCTCTTCAGGCGCTTGGTATGCTCTGTGCAAGCTAATTAGGCTCATGCGTGCTGTTTTAAATATCTGGAATGGCTGCACATGCATGCCCCCTTTTTTTAATAGCACAGCAATTGCGGGCGAGAATGGGTCAAGTAGAGAACACTGTGAAAAAAGTGCTGTTATTTCATGTGAGGATAGGTTAAGGTGCCATGTACATATTTCAAACAATGGCTTTTTGAATAACAATTAAAAATGTATTAATCACAAAAAAGATGTGGCCTCTTAATTGTGTGCCTACTGTTTATTTATTGTTAACAAGCATTGTATCCACGAGCCGAAAGAGGTTTTCAGGAAGTGAGCATTGCCCGTTGCGGTATATGGATGATAAACATGTCCATGAATAAATGCGTCCATTGATAAACACGTCCATTTAATGACGGGGAAAATGGAACAAAAACTGAAAAGTGAGCAAAGAATCATGGAGCGAGACTCCTGCTGGGAATTAAAATGAGAACACGTTGAGAGGAACACATGGAATTGGAGTGCGAAAGCAAATTAGCGTTATCATATTGACTGTTACGAAATGTAACTGGGTCTGGCAAAGGCGCATCGTGGGAAGAGATGGTGGCCAATAGTCTTGACAACAGTGGCAGCCGAAGGATGGAATTCACCAGAGGGTGCCCTCCACAGCAGATGGTCCAATGAGGTCAGCCCAGGTGCAGGAGATAGCCGGATCGTTGCGTCATGGGACAGCGGGATGGCAATGACTTTGAGAGGCCTTCATCGAATGCTGGAGATATGGTGGCTGACGACAGTTGATTTTATGAATGAATAAATTGAGTTCAGACCTTGTGGGCAACTATAAACCCACAATCAGAGCTTTGAGATGCAGACTCAAGGTTGAAAATCTCCACACTCACTCTGGGGTGAATGGTTTGTTGTGGTCTAAACGTATTTTTAATTTCTGGACGATTGAGTTTTAGATGTGAGATGGAATACAGTTTTCAATTATATGGTTTTCATAATTTAAACATGTGGAGTCTCAATCGAATCTCTAAAGCAGCTCCATTGAGACACAGCAAGAGGAACGCATGGAGTATATGTGAGAGCAAAATATGTAAATTTGACCATCCAGAAGTGGATGAATTATGGCTGATGAGGAGTGACTTTGGCTTATCCTGGTGATGCCGAGATTCCCTTACCCACAGATGCACAGGGATCTGGGCAGGGAAACCAGAGGAGACAAGCCTGGCCCCAGGGGCATGCGGCCTCATTTCCCTAAATAACATCAGGAGAGGTGAGAAACGTGTCACGACCTCTCGTGTATGTTTTAATAATTGAACATAAACCAAGTTGAGGCCCAGTGCCCCTGCGACCAGGCCCGACTCATCTGGTATCCCTGCCCAGGTGCCCGTGCCTCCCCAGGCATGGGATTCCAGGCGTGACCGCTGTAGACCCAAGTCACTCCATCATCATCATCAGCAGCAGCCATGGCGTGGTAATATCATCTCAATGGGCTAAGAGGCCAATGTAATCAACTGGGGGATTTTTTTGCCAAGTTTTGACCAACCGTGTTTAAAAAATGTTATTTGGTTGTCTATCGAGTAAAGCGTCCCTAATAGCAACACAACTAGCACGGTAATAATTTGTGCTCGTTAAAGCACCGTTTGTCTCCAAGTAATTGTGACCCAACCTACCCCTAACCCCCTCTTACAGACGGACCAAAATAACGAATGCATTAACGCCTACTTCCATTGCGCCAATGGCACGCACACATTGGTAAAAGTCTGTCCACGAACCAAGGTTATCCACGGATCTTGCGACGACGGCGTTCTGACTTTGATGGAAGCTGCTGCTGTCATTTGCGCAAGCGTGTGCGTCAAATAAGGAAAAAAAAAGTGATGACCTCAACTTTTGTTGGAGAAGGATCATTAAACGCTGTATATCCAGCATGGAAAGTAACTTTTTTAAGGAAAGGCTCTCTGACAAATCTACGAATGTCTAAGAGTTTACGTTGACTCGGTAATCCCCCCCACCACCCCCACTTTGCGCAAGAGTGCAGAAGTGTGGTCACCGCATCTACGCCTCTATAAGGAACGCAACAGGTGGAGGACTTCTCCACAAATCTGGCTGTCGCCTGATGAAGCTAGTTGCAATTACTGGCGAAACGTCGGACTCAGATTGTAACTGTTGTGGCTTGGTTTTCCAACACACCGGTGTGCTGTACTAGTGACGAATTGGCACGTTTTGTTTACGTGACAACCCTTACTAGTTAGCTGTGTCGGGTGGTGGTGGGTTTAACGACACATTTATATATTTACGTGATCTAACCCAAAACACTTTATGGATTTTAACCATATTTACAAAAAAAAGACTCAACTGCAGCGATGATGATATCTCAATATTTACTGCCACACAAGCATGCTTTTAATATGATAGTATAATTTAACAATATAATAATTGAACCAACGAGCTTATACTCCTGGAGTTTCACTGTGTTTATTTTATAAGTGCATAAAGTCAATGGGGTTACGCCGTGGGAATTGATGACATTTTCTCTAAGCTGCAGAAAATTCCCCTCCATTATTTTAATGATGATTCACGTGGCCGTAGTGTCTGAAGCCTTTCTCTAAATGATACACGTCAATTTCACTCTTGATTTGAAAACAATTTGCGCCCGTTAAGACACAAGCTTTCTTAATTCCCGGTATAACAAACTCGCATCAAAACCTGTTCCAAGGCAAAACATATTGCTGTGTACGTACATATGAGTCCCGATTTAATGTGTTGGATAAGTGTGGAGCTGGCCCTAAATGTATTGACTTTTCAAATCAAACTTGACTTATATAGCACAATTCGTACAAAGAATGCAATGCAAAGTGCTTTACAGGACTAAATGAAGGGACTGACACAATGTAAACAACAAAAAGAATGATACGTTAACAAAAATGACACACGTAATTAACTAAAATATAATCAAAAGCATAATAAGCACACAATAAGGGCAACCTATTTAAAAGCCAATCTATAAAGGTTACGTTTTAAGATGTCGTTTAAAAACATTCACCGATTCTAATGCCCTCAGATCCTCGTGCAGGCCGTTCCAAAGACGAGGACCACAGCAGCTAAAGGCTGCCCTCCCCATAAGTGGTTTGGTCCTGGCCTTCGGAACAACCAAGAGGCCAGTGCCGGAGGACCTGAGGGAGCGACTGGGTTCACACCTTAGACGCATGACAGACGTGTATTCAGGTGCCAGTCCATGTCGTGGTTTGTCTACTTGGTCACCCAGATTTTATTGTTTGGCTTTGTTTACAGACCTGTAATATGCAATAGTACACTTTGACACATTTTTGACACATTTAAGGTGATGCGCTCACCGAAATCGAGACAGACGTTGCTTGAATAAACGGGGACCTTTTGTTAGTTTGCCAATTTAATCGTTCTCATTTTCATGCAATTACAGAATAAGTGAAATTTCCATCTTGGTTTTATACACAACCTGCAAATAAATCGCTATTGTTTCAAACTCATTACATGGACACATCTCGTACCATTAATAGCTCGTGTTCAAATTAGCAAAATTGAAGGATTGTTTACAATTCTTGGCAAGTTTGGCCATTCCGTTGACATGGCAGCCCATTATAACAAATGAATGTGTCTGGGAATTTAATAATCCTGTCGTCCGTGAGGAGTTCTTTTCCAAACAAAAGAATGCTTATGTGATGACATTTACTTAGCATTTCTTTTCACTGTGATGAGTACTTAAGGTCATTGTATAACTTTCGAGGTCATTTGAAACGGCCCCACTAACAATAAGGCTTGTTTTCCTCTTAACATTTTCATCGGTGAATACGAGAGAGATGATTAGAGTACAGTTAAGATTTTTGGCTTTATTTATTGTAATACATCTAATATTTTAATGGTTCGACTTGAGCTGCATAATGTCTCAAATGAGACATTCTGCGTGATCTTCCGTGCACATACCAATTTATTTACAGTTTTGGTTATTGTGCATGCCATCCTCTGACAATTTGGCTTGGGCCTGGCAGCAGAAAATTCAGGCAAATAATAAAAAAAAACTTTACATTGGCGGCACACTGAAAGTCACGAGTTAAATCCTTGCCCATTCTTTCTTTCAAAGAAGAACCAACTTCGAGTTAAAATGTCATGTTTTGGCTACATATTATTTGATGCAAGGTAACTGACGAGTGAATTCCAGAATGCAATGTCTCATCGTTAACATAAAGAGACGCCGAGGAATCGCGGAGGTGGAACAGATGGATCTGCCGTGGGACTCGCAAGCTCTCAGTGCCAGGTGTGGGCCCTAATTTAAATCCTCGCGCGCCAATTAATTCCTACGATTTGGTTGTATCTGCGGAGCGCCACCTGCAATTGGAAATCCCCAAACAGCCGTAATGGATGGGTCCATTGTGTGACCCCGGGAGTGGTTTTCTTGTGTGAGGCCAATGCTAATAATGTATTTGTATACTCGGACAATACGGTCCTGCTGCTTTTGGTTCTTGAAAATTCTGCATCCCCAATTCTTTTAGCCACCACCACGTTCGTTTTTCGGTGTGTGACGTGAATTTTACATTTGTCGTAAAATAAGGATTGTGATACCTTTTTTTTCGTTGCGAAGATTAAGAACGTACATGCAAAACAACAGTTTGTATTTATATTAAAACTAGAACCAACCGCATATCAAGATTCTTCATAAAACAGTGTGACATAAGCATTGGTATATATATATAACCTGAATTGAAAACACGGATGCTGGGTAATAAATGGACGAGAACAAAAACAACATTTCTCAAAGAAGCCTGAAGTAGTGCACATTTAGAATAGCACTTCGAGACAGAAACGGCTACGCATCGATCAGAGGAAAAAAAAAACCCAGTTCGAGATATCGTACTGACTGGTAAGAAAGAAGCAAGTTGGCAGGAAAAGGGCCATGTCGCAAAGAATAGACGTTTGGCCGGTGGTGACGACCTGATGATGGAGTAGGCAGTTAAAGGAGGCAACACGCCCGAGAGGATGACCACCACTGAGATGGACCGAGGAGGTGAGCTCGCGTGCCGGAGCCACGGCAATTGTTGCAACCGTGAAACCAAATCACTGCACCTGAATGAATAAGTTAAATGATGACGTCACCCTGCTGCTCTATTTAAGACCGGGAGCAAGCGAGGGCTTCACCATTCTGGCGGATCGCCCGATGATGCTGGATGTAATTACCAGCGAAACGTCGTACTACTCAAACTGTAAATGTTGTGGATTCACTCTTCAACAACACACCGGTGGGCTAAAGTAGTGAACTATTTTGTCTTTTGTCAACGTGACACTTTTTTTGCTGATTGGCCGTGCCGGGTGGTGGAGGGTTACGACACATTTATATATAACGCGATCTAACCCAAAAACCTTTATTATGGAGCTTGGAGGAGTTAGATTAAAGCCAATGATGACTGTGTCACAAAACAGGTCCCTGCAGGGTGGGCTGGTAGAAGTTCGCAAATGAGATAATGTGACTTCCAAATGTTGGGTGCAATAAGACATATCAAGTCTCTGCGCTGTCTATTGCTGATTTTACACCCAACAGCACGAGATTTCACTTCGTTAAAGTATTGAAAGGGGACGAACGGACGGACGGACGGATGGACGGACACATGAATCTATTGCAGGCTGGTACACTCAGTTTACAACTTCGTTCCTACCAGTATAAAGGTGCATAGTTCTTTAAATGAGAAGAGACAGCCAGGCAAGGCAGAGGAGAAAAGGGGACAGTTCTCTGAGTCTTGACTTGAATCTGTCAAGAGGGAGTCAACAGCATAGAGGAAGATAGCAGGAAACGGGATTTTTGACCTTTTCCAACTTCCTGAATCATTTCACAATCGTCGAGCATTAATTTTTGGCTTTTTAATTTTAATTGCAGAGGGATGTTTACTTCCCAGAAGTTACTTAATTAAAAATGAAGTAACTCGCACAGCACATCACCCATTAGAGCCAGCGAGCAAGATGGACGGAAGCTTTAAATATTCTTGAGTGTGTCAATAAGATAAAAGTGAAACGGAGGGGTTATAACAGGTACACGCTTCGAATTATGTTTTTTAAAATGTTGTTTAATGTGTGGTGGGATTTCACTGAGAGGCAGATATTAAACATGCTTCAATGCTATTTTTATTTTAAGATGAACTGAGAATGTTCTGGAAATAAATAATTGCAGCAGAGCTATGGAATTACTTCATCGACCTAACCATCACTACCAAAGCCAACGAAGGCCCCTGAGTTATTTGGGAATTGCGTTTTTATCTCCTGAAATTCTTTTTTTTTACAAATATAATAAAGGAGCCGCAAGACATTCCAATAAGCATTTAAAACGTGTACAAAGTAAACTCAGGACTGTAGGTCTCCATAAAAATTGTGAGTATTAAATAAATACATCCCCTTCCCCATTATTTTTCTCCACGTAAAAATAAAAAAAAAACATTTTAGTCCATTGGCCTTCCACATTTGTGCACAAGCCCGAAACTGCTTATGAGTCCAAGGATGGCAACAGTGGTCAAGAGTGCTTATTTAAGAAAATGCTGCTGGTTTACATAGGTGTGGAAGGAAGGCGGGGGGGTACGGAAGACCAGGGGTGGAGCCAGGATTTCAAGCCGGGGTGACATTCAACAAATTTTAATTAGACGCCATCGGTTGGCGACACACTCTGACAATGCAGTTGCACGGAGTCCGCCAGACCGAGTGTCGTACACTTATACAGCAGAATGTCACCCCTGTCACCCCCCCTGGCTCCGCCCCTGCGGAAGACAATGTAGTTCATTTAACATGTATGTGTTTTTGAATTTTCTACATTATTTTTGGTATGTGTGTGCTAGTGTGTATACGTATATAGTGTAAGGTGGTGACTAAGCACTTTCCCCAACAGTCTGTTAAGGCTACACGGGGGTCTTCGATATAGTGTGGGGGGGGGGAGTGGTATAGCGGTCAGCAGGGACGGAGCCGGGCGGGGTGACAGGGGTGACATTCTGCGTGTCAGTGTACGACACTCGGTCTAGCGGACTCCGTGCAACTGCATTGTCAGAGTGTGTCGCCAACCGATGGCGTCTAGTTCAACAGCCTGACTCTCCAATCATTCTTGAATTTAACATTTGTTGAATGTCACCCCGGCCTGAAATCCTGGCGGTCAGCATGTTGTGCTACGATACCGGCGACGCGAGTTTGATTCCCGTTCACGATCAACACCAGTGCTGATTATATGAACTGGTCCTGGGATTCCCCTAGGTCGACTCAGCCTCAAATGAGTACCTGGTGTGGTGTGTAAAACATTGCCACTAGGGAGACAAAGGCAGCCGGGAGTGGTGCTGGCCTCCGACCCCCTCGTGCGCCGTCCTATTCACTAACGAAACTTGTCCCAAAAGTCAATTATGGCTATATCTGGATCTTTGTGTATGTGTGTATATATTTACAGTGTTTTTTTTATTCTGTGATGTGTGTGTGTGAATGTCGTTGTCGCGTGGGGGAATGGTGGTGCAGTTACACCATGCTACTTTCCTGGCAACCCTGGGTTCAATTCCAAGCCATGCGTATTAATGACCAATTGATATGTGAAACCGGACGTCCATTATGTTAACTTGACCTTAAGTGAACGAGCTTCTGAGCATAGCTACTGAGGAGACCCAAGGCAGCGTGGCATGGTGTTTTCCAAACTACATGTGGCCCTGGGCCTTATTGCTCACCAACAATGCTCACCCCCAACAGTCTGTAAGGCTAATCGGGGTCATCTTTGTCATTGCATCGGTACCGCATTTGGCATTTTTTTTACACTCGAAAGTCAAGCTTGTTGGTAAGTCCCGCTATCCGCTATTGACGTTCACGCGATGTCCCCGGGGTCGTCGATGGCACTGCAGGGCATCATTGACGGCACCGGTGACCTCCAGACTGCCGGGGGGGTCAGTGGGGGGGGGGGGGGGTCACAGCACCCTGTAGTTCCTGTTGGTGATGGCGTTGGAGGAGGCGTAGGCCGTGTTGTTGAGGTCTTCGATGGCGTAGTGAGCCGTGTTGCCGCCCTGTATGCAAGAGCCGACGCGGTAGGCAGCAATGGCCAACAGAATGAGCAGCGCGACGCCCAGCAGCACGCCCAGAACGATCGTGGCGATGCGCCATGGGGTGATCTGGGTCCCTGTCGTCGGCTCTGTCGCTGTTGCTGTCGCTGCACGGGAAGGGCGGTGGACAAGGGCACGATTGCTCAGTTCATTGAACACTTACATTTTTTTCACGGGGCGTAATATCGGCCTCGTTGGACGAAAATATTTTCACGTCCGGCACACCACATCGAGTGTACTTCTCGCGATGGCTGTGGCTACTGTTCACATGCCTGTTTCGGTCTACCAGCGACCGAGGAAATATATAGTGAGAAACATGCATTATCCACGTAAAAAAAAATCTATTTTCAGCTCTTTTTCAATAAACTGATGGATAAATTCCTCCCTACATTGTGTCGGTTAAGGGGGCTGTTTAACCATACTTCACCACGCTGGTCAACACAGGTCCCTGAAGGTGGGATGCCCAGTATTGACTCCGTACCAACTCGGTACTGGGCGTGTGTGAAAAAGAGCTTTTATAGCTCATCAGATTCCTCCGAGCATTATTAGATATTCTGATTCTGAGATGTTGCTCATCACGGAGAAGTGCGCTAAGCACCGTGCCACCACTCCGTGCAGTACAAAGTAAAATTTAACCAAATTCTCGAGATGGTCTTGTGGCACGAGGTTGGGAGCACTGAGCCAGTACCTGAGGCCACTGGGTTTAAATGTGGGTTCAAGCCACCCATGGTTAAAACCGGGTTATGTGATATAGTGTTGGTTTCAGCTCAGTCACCAATGACCACGCAACAAAAAATGCTAGATTTTTGTTCACTTAATTTCCAAGAATTCCAGTTCTTGATATAACTTTTACTACGACTACTACACGGCATTTCTCTGCAGCGAAGCATTGGGGGAGAGCGCAGTGCCCTCTAACGTGCAGATGAAAGGTCACTTGGGAGAGGGGAGCACTGACGAATTTCTGTGATATCCACTCGTGCCGGACATTCTGCAACGGATGCATTGCTCCACCAGTTGCCGAACGGACACTCTCACGAAATATTTGCCCATGTCGAATTTTGGCGAGCGAAGAGGATCCGAGGACCACCGTGATACCGCCCTACCTACCCAATTAATACAGCAAACAAGTAGGTACACATCAAGGCCGTAGCCATGGAGTCAACATTGGGGGGGACCAAATCTTCAAGGGGGTCTGGGGTCCCCAACCCCAGAAAAAAATCGAAATTTGAAAACTAATTTCCTGCCATTTCCTGCCTAAAATATATTTTTTAAATCACTAACACATGGGATGGACTTTTTATTTAATTTTAACAATAATGTCTAATAGTGCTATTGTATTTACATTGCTCTGTTTTTTAGTTTTTTACCTTTGTTCTTGTTTTATTGTATGTAATGGCAGAGATTAGGGATTAATAAAGTACAACCATAACCACAATCATATTAACAGAAATCTATGCATTGTTATATGAAGACAAGTCCAGATATTGTGGTCAAGGTTCAGCAAATTGTTGTTTTTGTTTACATAGCATCGCAATTTTTACTTTAAAAAATATTTTTAATGCAACATATTGGGGGGGACATTTTGAGCATATTTGATTATTGGGGGGGGGGGGGGATGTGTCCCCCCCCCCCCCCCCAATATATATTATAATTACGGCCTTGGTACACATGCTTGCTTTTTATTGCACACCTTTTTAATTGCACGAGTATCATGTTACAAATTCACTGTAATTACAAATTCAAGAAAGGCCCCCTCCCTCCTGACAACAGATGGGGCCACTCTGAGCTTGAGGCCAATCAAATCGGAGGATGTTGACGTCACGAGAGGACTTTCTGATTGGCTCCTTGGTGAACCTCTTCTGCCAAACCATCAGAGGGCGCTCCAGCTCGTGCCGTCAGATGCTCATTTATAAAGCCTTTTAATGCAGCGCCTAAGCCACAATACGTGGGGAAATATTGTTCAGCGGTCGTTAAATAAAAAGGAAATGTCTTTTGTTAGCTGTTTACCTTTCCTCAAATTTGCACTCCGATCGTGTTTTTACTTTATTTTTTGTTGTTGTTGTTGAAACTTTCTGACCAGACCCTTCAGTATGAATAAATATTCTGATTCCTTTAGAGAATGGGCTGAGATGGGTTAGGGGCGGGGGTTAATCAGGGGGGGGGAGGGGAAAACAAAAGGATAAAATCGGACGAAGATATACCCATGACAGCTGCCGAAAAGGGTACCTTCCGTGTTCACAGCTGCAACACAAATGAAAACATTTCCACTTAAAAAATCGATGCTCGTGTAGGCAGATATGACTCTGCCGTGACTTCCTGGGTCACAGAGCACGGGGCTCTGTTCAATTCAATCTTCAAGACGCCAGGATTTAGCGAGACCGACGTCTGACTTTGACGAGAACGCACGCGCACGGAACGTGCGCTTGGCGAATTCTTACCGGCGGTCGTGGCGGCCAGTCTGCGAAAGGGCCCCATATCGATCACGTTGTCGTTGGGCGATGATTCTCGCTCGGACCTGACGTACGACGCCCTGGAACTTCCACTGCACACCTGGGGGGGGGGGGGGGGGGTGTGGGGGGTGGAGGGAGGGGGATGGGCAGAAAGTAGGTGCGGAAAGATGACAAGTAAGTCGGGCTTAAACCTAAGTTGTTCTTACGTAGCACCCACCGTGTTGATCTGGCAGGTAACGCGATTGACTTTTTTTTATTCCATTACCTTCACCCGTGAACGTCTGCTGTTTGCTCGTTTCCACTAGAGGGGAGCTTGCAAAGCATCTGGCCAAACAATGCACCAATTGCGCAAGCAGCCATCGTGGCGTAGTCTCAACAATGTGGGTTGTCTAAACAAAATCTAGCTTGCGTAACGCGTCTTTGTTTTCAGAAATAATCCTGTGCAGTGGGTATGTGCTCACATGGGTATGTGTGTCTGCCGTTCATCTCAGTAACTCATACCACTTGGTACTGTCCCATGACTTCCTACCAGTGAGCCTTCGACGTTTCACGTGGCCTCGAATTCCGGTTGCTGAGTGAACACATTGTAAGGTCGCGCTCATTACACACAAAGTGCTTGCCACCAATGAACCACGCTACCTCGCTGGTCTCGTCACGGAGTATAAACCATCATGCAAACTCCGGTCATCCTCGCAGCAGCGGCCTTTCGCTGGCCATCGAACAAAGATGGTCACCGCATCGCGCGCTTTCAGATGCGCTCCTGCGGCCGTCTAGAACGTTCTTCCTTCCCATATTAGGAAACCACTGGAGCTACGCACTTTTAAATCTAGATTGAAAACTCATTTCTTTAGGACTGCTTTTAGTGTTTAGTTTGTTGTCCTCCCGCACAGCTTTTGATTAGCACGTTTGGCTACATACACTGTGAAAGAAGTTCAACGTTCATAGACACAAATTGCAACCAACCTGGCACAAACGCTGTGGTGACATCGCCGCTACTTAGTGGCGAATGACGGCTGTGTGTGTTATGTGCCTGTGTAATAATCGAAAAATTACCCCAAGACAATATGCAGCCTAACAGCTATTTGAAAATAAACAAAGGTCTCCGATGTGTAGAAAGAGGCATCCACAGTGATGGGTCAGGAGGAAAACATTAAAAGGGATTGGAGGAATAAGGTTTGAACGAGATCCATCGGAAAACCGAGAGAGTATCCGTGAGAGGGGAAGGACGGGGATTGGCTCAAGAAAACTCCCCCCCCCCCCCCCCCAAAAAAAAACTCTTATGGATATTGGTCACGTGTTCAACTTAACAAGGACAAGATGGTTCGAGAAAGGGGGCTGAGGAATCTAAAAGGGGAGAGCACGAGGAGTGGGGACGTTCGGAGGAAGTCGCAAGCTGGAGACAAGCACGAGGCTTAAAGTACTTTATTGTGGCTGTGTCCCAATAAAAGTGGCTCTTGCTACTTCGTCGTCAGAGTCGTCACACATGTCCCAAGCGTTCTACAAGTCTATACGGGGAGACTTTTGTCTTTTTCTGTCCGTGTGTGTCTGTAGGGAGCGGTAGTGTAGCGATTAGTGTGCTGCGCTGTGAACCTCGCGAACCGGGTTCGATTCCCGCTCACGGCCAACATCAGTCACGATTATCTGAACCGGTGCCGGGCCTCCCTTAGGTCAACTTAGCCTCAAATGAGTACCTGGTGCGGTGTGTAAAAATCGCCACTGGGGAAACAAAGGCGGCCGGGCGTGGTGCTGGTCACCCACCCCCTCATGTACCGTTCTGGGCCTTCATAGGTGCTCGCTAACAGAACTTGCACCTACAGTCTGTTAAAGCTATACGGGGGATCTTTGTCTTTGTTTTTTTGTGTCTATGTGTGTAACAGTAAACCTGGCACTCTGAATTCAATTCTTGGTCACTGCTAACGTCAGTAGCCAGTGGTACCTGAACCTATCCTGGGCTGTACTCTTGGTCTGCTCAGCCTTGTACGAGTACCTGGTACGAGTACGTAAACTAACAACCCTGGGGAGGCGAAAGTGGCAAGGTGCGTTGCTGAACACGCCTCTCCATTGTGCACCGTGGCAGCCTTGATAGGCACTCGCAGTGCTTTGCTCTGCAACAGTCTCTGAGCCCTATATAACTGGTGACCTCTGAAGCGTGTGCCTGGATGTGCGAGGGTGTATGAGAGAGTGAATACATGTGCGGAGCGTGTGAGCAACGGTGTTTGCGCGCGTTAGTTTGTGTGCACGTGACGTTTTGTTATTGTGTGCGCGAATGACATATTGATAAAAGCCACGTTTGATCCATGAACCAGAACGTGATTCGCCGCAATTCTCACCAAGGAGAGGCCATCACCAATGTCTTTGGTGATGGCCCTGAGAATGTGGAATCGATAGAGATCATATTTGATGTGGTGATATGGGAAGCTTGACCTCGCCTTGATAAAACCACCTCATTCTTGTGACATCTACTTTCCTCTTTTATGAATGGCGCGTGTTTTGGGCGGGCTGCGTGTAACGATGTCGGATCTTTTTGGTAAATTCAATTGCACGTTCCGGTAGCGCTCGCTCACTTGTTTTACGAGGCTTCGTTATATGCAGCATTTTTAAGAGATAATCTTTTTTTATATTCTTGGTTCTTTCGGTAAAGTCACGTAGAAGGGAAACAATAAAATAAGAAATATATAAAACTAACAATTATTTTATTGTTTCCCTTCTACGTGACTTTACCGAAAGAACCAAGAATATGAATCCCTGCAGTCACGAAAGCTTTAAATAAAAATATTTTTTTTGTCCACGGTGTTCGAGTGCTATCGGTGGCCCAGCAATGGCAGAACATAAGCGGCAGTCTCGGCACTAAATCTCGGGGAATCATTTTTTTACAAACGTTGATTGTTTTTTCCTTAATTCTCACAGTATCCAAGGTTGTCCAGTATCCCATCTTGCCTCGCATTTTTTATAGCCATACCGTGGAAACTATGCCGGAGGAAAATGAGCAAAAAAATCCATGGCATCTCGGTTGGCAACCCTAGGAAGAACATTTCTTACATGAATAAAGAGATAATAAATAAAGGATGTGAGGAACAGTAGGGATTGCGTCCACTTTTGCAAGCGGAATCTTGTGAATTATGAAGCGGAATCTTCCTCACAAACACATTTGAAGCTGCATGCAAAAAAAAACTATTTCACAGCAACATCGCATACAGCATTTATACTACAAATGAATAAATAACGGTCATCTGGTGGTTCCCGGCGTTAGAAATATCCAGCCCTGCCAAGTGGCAGAGTTGCTGAACTGTGCCATAGGTCACAGGCTCTCTCCGCTTCCTTATTCTGCACAGAGCTGCGATGCCTCCCTCTCGTGCCAACGGGCGGGGTTCGTGACTGGAATACTTCAGTTCTGTCCAACTTGAAAAAAAGACGCCGTCTCCTCTCACCTCCGTTGTATCCCGTCGTACGGTGGCGGGTTGGGAAAGGGTTGGAACCTAATGCACTGAGCAACAGCCATCGTCATCCCCTGCGTGACACCGTCAGGGCAGGGCTTGACCGACTACTGCGGTCAACGCGACTCTCCGCGACGCTTCTCTTCACGTTTACCAATCTCCCCTGGGCGGTGACGTGGACCCAGTGGCATGGACAAGGCTCGATTATTGCAAGTCGCTACTCTTTTAGCGAACCATCGAACAAAGACGGGTCACCGCATCGCACGCTCTCAGATGCACTTCTGCCGCCGTCTGAAATGCTCTTCCTTCCGATATCAGGAAGCCACTGGAGTTATGCACTTTTAAATAATCTACGTTGACAAATTCATTTCTTTAGAACTGCTTGTTGCGTCTAGTTTGTTGGCCCTTCACCGCACCTCTGATTCGCGCGGTTGGCTACGTACTGTACGAAAGAAGCCCAACATACACGTAAACATTGCAGCGTAGCATCTGCAGCCATTCTGGAACCCGGCGAGGAGACCAGTTGATGATAAATGAAAAGCGTTGTTAAAACGGTGACTTACGGGCTTGCAATTCTGGGCGGTCGTCAAGCAGATGCCGATGCTGCAGTGGATGTAGGTCATCGCGTAGGTGACGTATTTGTACAAGGTGAGTTCGAAGCTAGCTGCCGTGGACGTGCCGCTCTCGATGATCTTGAGGTCCGTGTTTGTGGTTGCGCATCTGTAACAAGGCAAACGAAGCGGGAGGAGGAGCTGCTGAGTCAAAAAGGTTCAGCAGCAATCGAGCCATTTGATACGGAATCTGTGTCGGCACATGTGGTGAGTTATACGCAATATGACAAGTTTGTTAACGCAATTGTTGAGTTGTTTGGGTATATATTTCTCCACAAAGTTGGCTGTCGCTTAATGAAGCTAATTGTAATTGCTGACGAAATGTTGTATTCAGATTGTAAAAGTTGTGGCTTTGCTCTCCAACACACCGGTGCTGCTGTACTAGTATCGAACTACATGTTCTGTTTTCGCGACAAACCTCACTAATTGGCTGTGTCGGGTGGTGGCGGGTTTAACAACACATTTAGATATTTACGCGATCTAATCCAAAAAAACTTCTTATCAATTAATGTATGTTACGTCACCAACAAATACCCACCTATCATTGCCCCAAATCTCATCCAATCACAGAAGCTAAACAGCGTTGAGCTTATTCCGTACCAGGTGTTATATAAAAAACGTAACTATTTTTATTTTACCAGGTAAGGCCCTCTGAGCTATGTAACTCTTTTTCAGAAGTGACCTGGCCACGAATGGTAGCTCAATGAAGCGGCTTATCACGTTGATATTTAGAGCAACCAAATACTCTGAACGCGTGATGTTGATTCTAAATGTGGAGAGAAAAACCGGAGGACCCGGAGGAAAATCCACACGACCACGGGGAGAGACACGCAAACTCCAAATATACAGCAGGCGTCAGTCGGGACCAAACCCACAACCTCCTGTATACCAGGCAAGGTAGTTAACATCTCCTAGCCACCGTGATGATGATGAGAGAGAGCTGCCCCCCATTGCTCTGCGCTGCTCTTTCCGCTCTCCGCGGTTGGTGGTACGCGTGTCGTACATACATACGCATGTAAGTACGTTGAATTTATTCCGCATCGTACGTAGCCAACCGCGCTAATCGGAGGTGCCCTCTCACTTGTTGGTGATGAGCTCCATTCGCTGAGCGTCCGTCTGGCTGGGCCCCGGCGTGGCCCAGCACGTCTGCATCACGGCCGTGATGTGCGCGTTGGCGGACGCGATGTTCACTTTGAGGACCAGCTTGTCGTTGGTGCCCAGGACGGGCGCAGTGGACAGGGAGCTGTTGTTCTGCCACATCTGCAGCGACACGGAGTACCAGCCCGTGCCGTACACCGTGTCGTTGATGACGAAGCCCCTTGTGGGATGGGTGGGTTGTGTGGGTTGGGGGGGATGTGGGAAAAGTCGTCGCGGTGAGACATGCATTCGGTGGCGTACACAGGAGAAGAAGGCCTCTCTCCTCTCCTCTCGTTAGAATCGCACAGGCAGGTATCTTGGGAGTGGGAGATCATTCACGCGTTTCTCCACTGCTGGAGATGCACTGTAGAACCCCTCTTAACGACGGGAATTGGTTCCACGAAACCGGTCGTTAAGCGACTTGGTCGTTAAGTGAGTAGATGTTTCCACTTGAAAGCACAGCAGACACTGAATGTAAACAATGCCCCAACGCTCACGAATGGACGTCGCTAATTGGCGGAGGCCTGGACATACCACTTTGGAGTTCACCAATTGGCTGAAATTGGCGGTCGCCTGCCCTTCGTAAGCCCGTCATTAACAGGGTAATGGTTGCTAAGCTAACACATTGGGCTCTATCGAGGCCCGTCGTTAAGCGATTAGTCGTTGACAGGGGTGGTCGTCAAGAGGATATGCATGCGCCAGAAAGATGTGCACTAATTGAGTATATTGCCACAAGACGGAGGAAATTGGAGACAAATGATGAAATGTGCAGTGGACACCTAATGGGCTATCTGCCCAAGAATCGTGATGATGATTGATGATGATGTATGTTGAACATCTTTCATACCGTACGTAGCCAACCGTGCTAACTGGAGTTGCGGGGAATCGGAGTTGTGGGATGCATTGGTCGACCGGCTGCGTTGTGACTGCCTTACTACTTGGCGAAATCAAGTTGGCCGGACGTTGAACCATTTTGACCAAAAAACACTCGCCCTAGGTATGGCGTTAAACTGTGCCCGGTGATGTCATTGAAAAGATGCTGGCGAGGGAGCCACGGAGATACCGGCTCGGCAGTCCTTACCCTGGGCATGGATCAGAAACCCGAGTGGATGTTGTGGGGTGAAGAGGGGGAGTGGGAGGGGATGGGATTGAGCCAGGGATCTGCCCTTGAGCAGAGAGGATGAATATGAAACTAAGAGTAAACTAATACCAAAACTACTCCACCTCCGGTTAGCATGGTTGGCTACGCATGGTGCGAAAGAAGTTCAGCATACGTATATTGTAGAGTGAATCCGCTGCCGGATGAGCATCTCCCTACGCCGTGTCGGTCATGGGGGATGGATCGTTTCACCACACTGCACCATGGCGGTCAGTGCGGGGTATGGTGAATTGAAGCGACTTGGCACGGACATCGCTCGCCGTTGATGCAACCGGGCATCGAACTCGGCTTTCGCGGGGGTTTTCGTACAAAAAAAAAAGAACGAACTGCGTGGGACGCGTTTCACGCAGGGGGTATAATTGGACAGTTGACATTTGCGGACGGAGCGTGCGGCGGGTAAAAGAGATGAAAGGCCGAGGAGAAGGGATGTTGGGTGAAAGAGCCGAAGGGAAAAATAAGGGGGCCATTCGTAGAAACGAAGGATAAGGATGGGGGGGGGGGGGGGCGGGGCGGTGACAGCCGAGGCCCCCAGCCGCGACGGAAGATCACCGAAGTGAATCGCGCGCCGCGCCGGACGCGCAGATGATTCCGCGTTTCTTTTTTCGGGAAGGGGGCACGCGCGTGGTACACCCCTTACCCCGAGGCCGGGAAACCCATGGAGGCGTTCACGTTGTTGCTGAGGGCGCAGAACACGGTGATGGAGAGCAGGGAGGGCTCCCCCGCGGCGACGCCGCTCTTCAGCGTGTTCGTCAGCAGCGTGTGTGTGATGTTCTGCGGAGGAAAAACGCACGCGGCCACGGCTGTTGGGTTTATTCATGATAGCCGGCGCAAAACTGCGCGACAACGCCCTTCCCCGCACGGCTTTGTGGGATCCTCGGTACCGTTAATTTCGGCTTTTTTTCCCCCCCCGATTCCTATTGACATTGCGATTAAACCGTACACATACGTCATCGGAACAGTATGAGGGTTAGGTAGTAAAAAAAAAAAAACTCAACTTATTTCGAGTCGAAATTTCCCCAATATGTATTCATAGAATTTGCGTTAACTTGCCCCGCAATCGTATCGGTTCTCTTCAGCAGTCACTTCCGTGTAAAATTACGTGGTTTATGCGAAGAACTGCCTGTAATTGGATGGATTTCCAAAGGTGCAGCACATTTTGACTTAAAAATGTATTCACCGTGTTCCAAGTGCACTTATTAAAAAATATATATATATCATTCATGTTGCGAGCAGTGTGCAGTTTTGGAATTCAGTATCAAATTAGTCTTAACAACCTTTATTCAAAAAAATGGCACTAATTCAAATTTAAAAAGCTAAATGAAAAATCCAGAAATGTTGAGTCCATCTTAAACGCTCTAATTCCTCATTTACCACAACAACAACAACAAAACATGAATCCGCACTGTTTTCCTACCTCCTGCTGTGCATCTGTGTCCTCAAAACAATTTTCTAACTTGGGAAGAAAATCGAATACGATTTTAGCGAAATGAAAACAAAACGAAGGGGGGGGGGGGGAGGGTCGGGGGGAGGAGACCGTTCTCGTGAAGGCGTGTGGATGGCTGAGCAGCAGTTGATGCAGGCGGTGTGTGCGTGCGTGCGTGCGTTCACGAGTGCGTTCACGCGTGCGTTCAGTGAGTGAGCGCCCGTATCAACTGCCAAATGAGAATGTGCGGAATTAATCGCCGTTGCATTTTGCCCCACATAGAGACACCGCGTCGCGAAAAATCCATTTTTATTTTCGTCTCGCGGTTATTCGGCACACGTTTGCCCCGATGCGTATACGAATTTTGTTGTTTGTTGTTGTTGTATAATTAATTTATTTTTCTCTGGTGTATTATGTCTGTCGTGGAAAACGGTGTGGTTTTTTTTTAATTTGTGAAAACCGACTTAAGAGCTGCTTAGCTCACAGGGTACTTTAAAAAAAATCAACTGGAATTAATTGTGCAACGCGTGACCTGTCCTATGCGCCTCTCGCGAAATAGGACACTGCGCAACATTTCAAACGATTAGGCACCATTTGTGTCATTCGGGAAGGAACGAATGGAACGCGTTTTTGTTTTGTGCAGATGTTCCGCGGCTATTATATTATAATCAGCCTGTAAGAGCAGTTGCGTATTTTTTTTGTTGCAAAGGAAAACAAATTACGTGGTGTTAACGTTTGCTAATTACCAGCTTGGGGTTAGGGTAATGTCTTAATAGATGATGAAAGTTTGTGTTCATGGCGACGACTTCTCAATTATAGGTACAACATATTTTTTTACTTTGATTACGCGTCGAATTAATCACAGCCACGCAATTACGTAAAACATGATTGCACTTCAAGAATTTGACATTATTTTAAACATAATTGAAGTTAAAAAAAATTTGTGTCCATGCATTCTACCCCCCTTCCCAATGTTCCACGAGGTTTCTTACTTGAATTTAAAAACAAAGATGATGATGTCGATGTAAGATGATGACCATAATATGGCATTAGTTAAGATGTCTATGATAGTAACGACAAAGATTGTGCATATAAACAATGGTAATGATAATGGTAACGGTAATTGAGTGCAAATATATGGGGTGTCCATGAATCTATTGTACTTTATGCAGCACATGTATATAATTAGACAGCGGTGAAGTAAAAATGTTGACAGCGTAGTCCTTGCAGAGTTTTCGATATCTCATGCGACACAATTGGTTGTCTTTTTACCGATTTCTCTTTGCTTCGTTGCCCTACATTGTTGTGTTTTATTTATATTTTATATAACTTTGGTAATCCGGGTTACTCGTGCAAACGGTGACTCATCTCCTGGTCTCTTGAGTTCTCACATGCGCAAAACCTCAAAGAGCCATTGCCCAAAATATTGCCTGTGGTATTTTTCATTTGTTCATTTTTAAGGCCGCAGTGTTACTGACGAACGTGTTGATTTCGTTTTTTTTCTGTGAATAATGCTTGTGCACCTCTGCCAACGCAGTGTGTGCCTATTTGCCCCTAGTAGTTTTAGTCTGAAACTGAGGAATAGGAAAGGGGAGTTCACAAAGATCTGGGGCCCCCTCGTGAATGCCACTCCAGATAACCTAAGTTTACTTTACTGAACTTGAAATGTGACTGACCTTACCCCCCCCCCCCCTCTTTCCACCCCCTTCCTTCCCTGAAGAAAAGGGATCTGACGCACCACGGACCACATAACGCTACGGTACCACACGTACTCGTTGGTTGTCTGTCCGAGCCGTCTATCCCGCTATGCTCCACTCACTTGTCGTGGAAGTTGTTACCCCCCCCCTCCCCGTGGTTGGATCAATAAAAAATCTTTACACAAAAAAATGCTTTATCGCACGACAAAAGCAACCACATCGGGGACCATCATATCTCCACTCTGTGCATCGCAACCACCGTAGCAGACACGTGGAGGTTTAAAAGTAAACTAAACTTTGTATTCGACCAGGAAAAGGCCCACTGAGCTGTGTAGCTCGTTTTAAGAAGCGACCTGGCTGCCACAAATGATAGTTCAACGAAGTGGCTTCTCACGTGGACATTTTAGCAGCCACAGACTCTACGAAACGCGTGACGGTGATTCTAAATGTGGAGGGGAAAAACTGGAGGAGCCAGCGAAAAATCCACGCGACCACGGGGAGACAGACACGCAAACTCCAAATATACAGCAGCAGGCGTCAGGGTCGGGATTGAACCCACGACCTCCTGCACACCAGGCGAGGGAGTTGACATCTCTCCACCGTCGTGCCCCAAGGGAGACTACCACGTGTGTGGGTGTGTCGTAAACGATTGCCGATGAATTCTTAATAAAATCATGGACTGTGACGACGACGATGATGATGATGACGATGATGCACCTGTGAACGTTTTTTTTTTTTTTGCCGTGTATTTGTGCGACGACAAATTCTAATCACGACGATGGCATTGTCGATTGCAACGACGACGACGAACTCGACGGCGCCGTCGCGCCACTCACGCTGTTGACTTTGGTTCCGCAGTCGCTCCACCCCGATTTGAACTCGAGCGAGTCGGACGTCGCTCCCTGCTGCGCGCCGCAGCTCCGCAAGCCCAGGTAGACGTCCGCCGGCTGCACCCCCGACAGGGCGAGCTTCGCCTTCGGCATCCGCACGTACAGGTACGAGCCGTCGCACGTCACCGTCATCGCCGATGCCGGATACGCCGTGGGCAGAGTCGACGGCGGATGTGGCGCGGCGGTCGACGACACGTTGCTGGCAGACGCTGGTGCGGTGGTGGTGGTGGTGGTGTCATTGGCCTTGGTTGTGGCAGCAGGCACTGTTGTGTTGTTACCGCCAGCAGCTGCTGTGGCAGTGGTGGTGGTGGTGGCGTTGTTGGGCTGGATTGTGGCACCGGGCACTGTTGTGTTACTGCCAGCAGCTGCTGTGGTGGCGTTGTTGTTGGGCTGGGTTGTGGCACCGGGCACTGTTGAGTTGACGCCGGAAGCTGCTGTGGTGATGTTGTTGGGCTGGGTTGTGGCACCGGGCACTGTTGAGTTGGCACTGGAAGCTGGTGTGGTGATGTTGTTGGGCTGGGTTGTGGCACCAGGCACTGTTGAGTTGACGCCGGAAGCTGCTGTGGTGACGTTGTTGGGCTGGGTTGTGGCACCGGGCACTGTTGAGTTGGCACCGGAAGCTGGTGTGGTGATGTTGTTGGGCTGGGTTGTGGCACCGGGCACTGTTGAGTTGGCACTGGAAGCTGGTGTGGTGATGTTGTTGGGCTGGTTTGTGGCACCGGGCACTGTTGAGTTGACGCCGGAAGCTGGAGTGGTGATGTTGTTGGGCTGGGTTGTGGCACCGGGCACTGTTGAGTTGGCACTGGAAGCTGGTGTGGTGATGTTGTTGGGCTGGGTTGTGGCACCGGACACTGTTGAGTTGCCACTGGAAGCTGGTGTGGTGATGTTGTTGGGCTGGGTTGTGGCACCGGGCACTGTTGAGTTGACGCCGGAAGCTGGTGTGGTGACGTTGTTGGGCTGGGTTGTAGCACCGGGCACTGTTGAGTTGGCACTGGAAGCTGGTGTGGTGATGTTGTTGGGCTGGGTTGTGGCACCGGGCACTGTTGAGTTGGCACTGGAAGCTGCTGTGGTGGCGTTGGGCTGGGGTGTGGCACCAGACACTGTTGAGTTGACGCCGGAAGCTGGTGTGGTGATGTTGGGCTGGGTTGTGGCACCGGGCACTGTTGAGTTGACGCCGGAACCTGCTGTGGTGGCGTTGTTGTTGGGCTGGGTTGTGGCACCGGGCACTGTTGAGTTGGCACTGGAAGCTGCTGTGGTGACGTTGGGCTGGGGTGTGCTGCCTCCTGGTGCCACAGTAGAGCTGGGCTGTGTGTTTGTATTCGCTGACGGGGCAAGGAGAACGAAATGTTTCAAGTCAATGGATGACGATCGTAATTCTCTTCACTTAATATTACAGTCATCACATTTATCACAATGTACTCCGTGTATTGGAAATCTGCAACAGGCATGAAGACTCATAATGTGTTTTTATTCCAAGAGGCTCCCGCTACATTGGGATGTTTTTGGGCCAATTGCCGCTTGGTAAGCGTTTGGATTCAAGGGGAGAAAAACCGGGCGGGAGGGGGGGGGAGAGACTCACCACAGATACACGGGGGGGTTGCCACTCAAAGCTGCGCACAGGAGCACTACGGTGGCTAGATGTTAACTAGCTCGCCTGGATTGCAGGAGGTCGTGGGTTCGACCCCAACCCTGATGCCTGCTGTATATTTGGAGTTTGTGGTGTGTCTCTCTCTCTCTCCCCGTGGTCGCATGGATTTTTATCCGGTTCTTCCTCCAAACATTTTTAGAATCGACGTGCGTTTCGAGTATTTGCTGACGATAAGCCACTTCCGCTTCGTTGAGCCATCATTTGTGAAGGCCAGGTCGCTTCGGAAAAAGAGCTACGAAGCTTAGTGGGGCCTTACCTGGTAAAATAAAAAATGCTTTAATAGTTTTAGTTTTTCATGTGGATGGATTGCAACAAATTGCTGTGCTGCAATATCCCAGGAAACCCTCTGGCGGAGCCTTCAACACCTGCAATCCAATTGCTAACCGATCTCAACCCTCCCCTTGTTAGCATTCTAAAGATTTGTCGCGTTCAGGGTAATTTTGTCTCGAGTCAGGTGATTGGCAGCACCCCCCTGCAGCGATACTTTGTCTCCTTCGAAGAGAACCCTCAAATGTAGTTTCTCCTTCATTTGTTTGTATTTCTTATTTACAGGGAAAGGTGTTTCCGTACTCTTGTCGATCGAGTTTAAATCGTATGGGAATCGACTTTTACACCAGCATGCAAGTTGACCTATGCATGTCAAATATTTGCACTGGCTTTAATGTCTGCTTTTCAGCAGATGGCACTGTTTGTTTAATATCCGAGGGATATTGTTGGCCATCTGTAGTCAGAATCAAACCGTCTGTCGTTAACGAATATAACACAACTGCTTCCGAGATGTCTTCAGGTGATGTCCATCCACACATCACGGCATGCAGCACTCTTACACGTGCCCTGCGTTCATTAATAAAGTAAAAATGTTCATAACCCAGCAGTCAAGAATGCTGTATTTTTCAGAGGTATAAAATCACCGAATTGAGCCTCTTCGCGTGTCCTTCCACCGGTCGTCACGTGGTGAATGTGACTGTGAGGCTGGACGGACTTCCTTCGCTCCTTCCTCACAAAATTAAGTGGTAGTGGGCTCAGCTCATCATGGCCCCCAGGGGGTGAAGAAAATGAACACAACTCTGGGCCAGTCAACAGCAGCGGCATCCTCTGGAGATAAACCCCACCAACTCCCACCGCCCCGTGCCAGAGAAACGTGGAATTCCCACCGCGGGTCGCGGACGAACGGCCGAATCCGCCTCCTCCGTCCCCAAATTCTCATGAGTAGAAGAGCGCGGACTTTTGACTTGGGAACGAATGTCAGGGCAGAGGACGAGGAGGAGGTGGGGGGGAGGGAGCAAACGTTGCCTGGTGCGGTCTGCACCCACGGTGGCACTCACCCAGGCAGGTGCGTCCGGCGACCACGGAGCTGGGGTCCGTGAAGCCCGCATTGCAGGTGCAGTTGTAGGAGCCCTGGGTGTTGGCGCACGTGGCGTTCTCCGCACAGTCGTTGAGGGTTGAGTTGGCGCACTCATTGGTGTCTGGGGAGGGCACGCAAGCACGGTGATGCACGCGGTGAGGCACGCACACGCGCGTATGTGTGTGTAGTGGGGAGCGGTGGTGTAGCAGTTGGCGTGCCGCGCTATGAACCTGGCGACCCAGGTTGGACTTCCGCTCACGGTCAACACCGGTGACAATGATCTGAACCGGTTCTGGGCCTCCTCTAGGTCGACTCGGCCTCAAATGAGTACTTGGTGCGGTGCGTAAACATCGTCACTGGAGAGACAAAGGCGGACGGGCGTGGTGCTGGCCACCCACCCCCTCGTGTTCCGTGCCGGCCTTCATAAGTGCTCGCTAACAGCACTTGCCCCAACAGTCTGTTAAGGCTACACGGGGGATCTTTGTCTTCATAGGGCGGAGGTCGGCGGACACGCTGCGCTGTGCTGCGACCTCGGCCACCCAAGTTCGATTGCCGCTCGCGGCCAACACCGGTGACGATTATCTCAACCGGTCGTGGGCCTCCCCTAGGTCGACTCGGCCTGAAATCAGTGCCTGGTGCAGTGTGTAAACATTGCCGCTGAGAAGCCAAAGGCGGTCAAGCGTGGTGCTGGCCGCCCACCACCTCGTGTGCAGTTCTGGCCTTCATAGGTACTACTGGCTAACAGCACTTGCCCCAATATTCTGTTAAAGCTTTCCAGAGGATCTTTTTATGCGGAGAGTGTTAGTGCAGTGGGCTGCGCACTGCACCGCTAACCCAACGACTTGAGTTCATTACCCAGCCATGGCTAATGTTGGAGGCTAGTGCGATTTCGATTTTGTACCGGGAATTCCATGAGGTTGACTCGGCCACAAATGAGTGGCTGATGCAGTGTGTGAGCATAAGCGATGTAAAAACTAAGGAGTTGGTCACAGCCAAACCCCGCTCCTTGTGTCGGTCCAAACCTTAGTAGGCATTTGGTTAACAGCATTTGTCTCAGCGGTCAGAACGGCGCTCAATGTTTTCGTTTGGTTGGATGTGTTTGTACAAACATCCACCACAGGTGTGAGGGTGGAATGAGCGGTTTTAATTGTTGAGCGGTGGAAAGTGACATCTAAATCCTCGGATTGCATCGGTTTGCATTTGTAAAAATGTAACCACGGAATTGTTTACCAGCCCAATTTTATTTTCAATGAAATGATTCATAATAATAATACTCGTACAAGTCATGGCAATGGTCCGTATTAATATGTGAACCTGAACTCCAGTGAGTTACAACACCTCTGATTTGGCTATCTGTACGTTGCGTAATTATGCAATTCCGTATTAAATGTTTCGTGTCAATGGGTACCCCTGTCTTAAACAACGTCGCTTGCTACCATTGTGAGTGGACTTGCGTAGGCCCTGGAACTCGCAGCCACGAATCCAACGAATTTAAAGCCCAGAATCGACGACTTCCTCTTCTTTTCCGCCTTGGCTGCCTTTTTTTGGTCTCCCGATGAGTTTGCTTTGATTCGCACCTCTCTGCCATTGTCATCTTTCCTTCCTGGTGACCTCCTCAGCCCCCTCCTCACAAATGAATAATAAAAGTTATAACAAGGAGTAACTTGTCTCTGCATGACTCCCCCCACTCGCCCCCCACCCCCACCTTATCCAGCGTTTTGTTGAGATGCGGTCACATTTGGGATGCTTAACAAAATCCATGTGTTCTTTCATATTTATCTAAAACAAGGTGAGAGGCCAATCAAAGAAAGCGATACACAGTAGTGCACGTGAATATCAGGTCAACAACAGCATACTGTTTATCTTTTTTTTTATCGAGAACATGTAGCAATAATAACAAATTGAGATAAAAATGTGATTTTTAACATGGATGTATTTAAATATGAACGTTCAACCCTTTGTCAATCCACTGCGACCTATGAACCCTGGTGGCCTGAGTTCCATTTCCGGCCGTGGCTAAAACATCAGTGGCAAGTAATGTCTGAAGCGGTCCTGGCCAGCTCCTTCACTCATCCACACTGAACAGCGACGTGAAGTATGGTCAAACAACCTCCATGCCTGACACGCCACGGGAGACATTCATCCAGCAGTGAATTAGCAATCGGCTTTGAATTAGTATTGCTATTTAAACAGGAACAATTAATTCGGCCCATAGCACCCCACTCATCAGCACACACAAGAGGACGTATTATTATTATTGTTGCATTGTTTTAAATAATGAATTGTGGTTCCCTCCGAGTGGTACTCCAACGTTGGGTTCTCTCGCGTGACCGACTCCGGTCGCCCGAGTGATTTCCCCGGAACGTGCACAACTCTGCGACACCGCCCGCCGCGCTCGCTCACCGGTGACATTGAGGCCTGCCAAGTCGAACTGCAGCCCCATGCTGTTTTGGAGCGCTTGTCCCAGAGTGAGCAGCACCTGGTCGAACGTGAGGCCCGTGAGGCGGCCGCCCAGCAGCAGGTCGATGATGGCCACGATGCTGCCTCTGTACAGCTCCTTGACCGTGATGGTCAGCAAGCCGTTGGCCACCAGGGCCGCCACGTTGGGCGGAAGGCCCGCCAGAATCTACCCGCAACGCACAGGCGCCAGGGGTTGAGGTGAAATGACGGGACACGGTTGAGCATAAGATATGTGCTAGTCTATATTCTTTGGTTCTTTCGGTAAAGTCACGTAGATAGAAAAGAAGAATACAAAATAAAGTGAATAAAAATAAAATAAAATCCAGTTTGGTTCAGAGGATCTTCAGACTATAGCAGTGCAGTAAAAATTTGGACGTACAATTCAGGCACATTAAAGATGTGATAGTCATTAGCGTAACCATAAAGTGGCGTTTTATTACTTGGGAAAAGCGTGCTAACCAATTGATAAATTACAACACTTGTTGAGTAGTGAGAAATGCTTATTAAATACCACGGCCTTAGATGAAGCCGGATGAACTAACTTTTTCTTCCAACCTGGGATGGTGGTCGTGCATTTAGTTTTGTGTGTGTCAAACCACAGAGTTTATCCATTTTTTTTCACAATGACAGCCCGTATGTCGTCATGCATTGCATCTGCGTGAAACGTCAGCGGCACGGCTAAAATCCCGCAGTAGAAAAATAACTTGGAGGATCCTGTGGCGAGCCAGCCCTGGCACGGCTCTGATGTGCGGTGTTCAAAAAAATGATCGTGAACTGTGCGAGACATCCACCTCAGCGGGCCGTAACAAAAAAAAAAACGCAACAGGGATCGGTTGCTCAGAGCTAAGTGTGACTTTCCTGTCACAAGTTGTTGTTGTCAGCGTAGAAAAGCCTGGTTTGAGTCTCATTGTCTTGCTCAAAATACAAATATTACGCATTCCCTCTTTTCCTTTATTCATCTCACTAATTGAACTTTAATGCACAATGCTCACGGTATTTTTTTTTACAGTTTCAATTGACTCGGAAGTATGTAGGAAAAGATTAGATCCTTAATTAAAAATGTGCTACGTGCTTTTGTAAGTGCGCACGTTGGCAAACTTGAATTGTGTGTTTAAGTTTAATTAAAAAAAAATCAACATAACACTATGCAGCGTGAGATCTGAAGAGAGGAATTGAAGAGAGTGCGTGGGGGTGATGGCAAATCAAATAAAAATCTATCTGCGTTTCACCTCTGCGATGAGTTCTCTTGAGAAGTTTGCGAATTCCGCACTGCTAGTGTTTGCCATGGCAGCCGTGAAGTTTCGGTTGATGACTCGGACTGAGCCCACGAGTTCCTGAGATTCTGTTGAAAAGGAAGAAAATGATCCGTAAGAAAGTGTTCACAAATTATTTTATTACTTAGCCTTTTGCCCGTCCAAGGACGGGTGTATTTCAATAAATATCAAACTTGCAAGCAAAAAGCAGACCGTGACGTAATATTCATTGCATCAAAGGTTATAATCCCTCGTTCATCATGACGACCTTTCTGCTTCTATGTCTCAACAATAGCGTCACGGAGATCACGTGACGTGGTGGTTCTGCCTTTGTAGTGAGGGTTGTCAGTTGTCGCTCAGGAGGGGGGAGGAGGCGCCTCGCCCCCCATGTGGCGTGACGTCACCCACTAACTTATTAATGAGGGGGGGGGGTCCATGTGGAGGACGTCACCTATTCATGATTATTAATGGGGGGGGGGGGGGGGGTGCTAAATGTGGAGTGACGTCACCCACTCATGATTATTAATGAGGGGGGGTGGGTCCATGTGGAGGACGTCACCCGTTCATGATTATTAATGAGGGGGGGGTGGGTCCATGTGGAGGACGTCACCTGTTCATGATTATTAATGAGGGGGGGTGGGTCCATGTGGAGGACGTCACCTGTTCATGATTATTAATGAGGGGGGCTGGCCGACGTGGAGTGACATCACACGCGGGACGCACAGACATTCTTTGTACATTACGGTGCTACATTTGATTATGCTGAGTATTCAGCTCAAAAGGAAGAAAATGATCCCAAAGAGAGTGTTCAGAAATTATTATTTGATGATGCTGCCGCTACGTTGGCAATGGGTGCACAAGATTAAATACCGAAACAACTCGACACATTTTTCAGTAACAGGGAAAACATATATACAGTAAAACCTTGGATCGCGAGTAACTTGGTCTGCGAGTGTTTTGCAAGACGAGCTAAAAAAAATAATAAATATTAATTTGATAAACGAGCGAGGTCTTGCAATACGAGTAGTACGTATACACGCTTTGTCTGCCGAGCATCACGTGATCACAACTGATATACGAGTGCTTTGACATAGGAGTGCTTTGGATTACAAACACGTTTCCGGAACGAATTATGCTCGCAATCCAAGGTTTTACTGTATGTATATCATCGGCGACGTTTAGGGAAATGGTCCCATTCTCTTCATGGCACATTCTTCACGTGCTATGAAGAAAGGCCTAAAAGCACTGTAGCCTTGTTATATTCAAGTGAATGACGACGTCCATTAGTTAAATTAATATGTTTTTGTTATATGCCAGGAAATGATTTTTTTTTGTTATGTGAATTAACTACTTAATGAATGAATGTAACAACATTGGAATAATGGAATTAAGTCGTAAAATGAATGGCACGTTAATTGTGGAATTAATTTGAATAGCTTAAGGTACTACTTTTTTTAGTTAATCTGGAAACGATCAAATGAATTTATCAATGGAAGACATTTAGAATTTAATCGAATTAACATTTCTTGTTTTTAAATAACAAACAACGCAACAAATATATATTTACGCCGCTTGCCTGGCCAGTTCAAAGCGAGACACGCTAGCCCGTTCAGGCTGCTCGTGAAATTCGGGAGCTACAAAACAAGAGAAGGGAGCAACCCCCACCGGTCTTGACCCGCTGGACGAGGGTGCTGCTGTTCCTGCCGCAGCGCCTGCTGGTGATGGCCACGGTGTAGACGACGCCCGGCCGCAGCCCCGTGAAGTTGTAGCGCGGCTCCTGGCTGTACAGCGTGGTGGGCTCCAGGCCCTCGCTCTGAGGCGCCGACAACTTCAGCTCGTAGCTCTGCTGGAGCTGCCGCTGCTGCTGCGTCCATCCCGCGTCCCAGCTCAGGCCGAAGCTCACGGCGTTGAAGCCGGTGACGACGGCATACGGCGGCGCCAGAGGATCCGGCCCTAGTGTGCCGAGACGGTTGTGGGCAGAGCAACGGCACGATGGGCGAAACTCGCCGCACGGATACGAGTGGACGGCTCGCCCTGTGTGACGTCAGCACCCGCATGGCACCTGACCCTCATCAGTATACCGCTCGCCGACGACTGAGCAGAATAAGCTCGCCTTATTAAGTTTAGTTTCCTCTAGATTTGCCAAATATACCGCTCTCCGAATGAAACGTTTGGTTTGACTGCCACGCGATGAACCTCTGCACGTGGGGAAGTGCAGCGCCGGGCCTCTCCTCGTGTCTGCACAAGAGGTCGCTTGAAAGAATCTCGAGAGCAGTTCTACGAATGCCTCCTTCTGCGGACGTGCTGTGATGGACTCCCCCCGCGAGAGTTCAGAGCGAACGCTTCGTCTCGTGGCAACGAACAGTTGGAAGGGGGACAGTTGGAATAAAATTGTGGAAAAAAAACGAAATTCGAGGGATGCGTTTCAACTGTGCCCGTGAATCATTCCACCGTGCCGTAGATTAATAATAGGCAGCCGTCTCGCAAAGATTTCCCTGACGAGTGCCGATTTCAGCTGACCCTGCTTCGAGTGCACGTTCAACACGCGCATACATTATCATCTTATCTTGACATCATTTATACAGCGCCTTAACCGAGCCGCTTTACAGACAATTAAGAACGGTACATATGAATGTGACGGTGGAGATGAGGTGAAAGAAATAGATGAGAGGAAGCAATGGGGGGCGCATCTGTGATGATGCGCCAATTTGGTGAAAGTGAAATTGATGACAATAAATGATGATGAATGGATTGAATTAATGAATGGAGTTAATGAGTGAATGCCATGTGATGAGCGGGAGATTAAGGGGTCATGGGGTGAGCTCGGGAAAATAAGTGAGTTTGAGTGAGGAGCGGAAACTGGTGAGCGAAGGTGACTGTTTAACGTGGAGGGGGAAGTTTGTTCCGGTGAACGAACGCACGGTCCAAACTCCTCTCTTGTATAACTTACAGCGTCCAACTTTCTCTGTGCTTTATCTATTGCGATTCCTCTGTACCATTTCCCTATTTGTGATCTGTGGCTCTCTTAATCTCAGGCGACAATCAATTGATGCCAAGGCATCCAAGGACAGGCTGCGTCGTAAGTTATTTTCCCTACCCATCTTCATTTTTTTTTTTTTATCAGCGCAAGAAAACTTCGTGAAATGCGAGTTGCACATCTGTTTATTGAACCTGTCCAAAGTTTTTATATACGGTCGAGAATACGCAACAGTATGGCAACCCCCTCGCTGCCTTTGTGAGAAACATCGCCTTGTGAGAGATGGCTTTGGCAGCGCAGCGGGTTTCACGAGTGCGGCAGAAGTGAAGTCGTGAGAGGAGTTGGGAGGCCAAACTTTGTTTAACAGCGTGCCGCTTTAAAGTATGAGGCGTCTAGTGCCCGCAAGTCATCTGTCTCTGGGTATCTCCTGACGGCCGTTGTCGAGAGCACCTGAATTCAATTATCTCGGGGTAAAAATCGCCAAGTGATCCACAATGCCCCCGAGTCCCATCAAATCTCAGAAGCTGTGCAGGATTGAACCTGGAGATTACCTGGACGGGAAACCACCGTGTACAACGGGTTGTTATAGGGTGCGGGGCGACATGGTGAGCAGCACGGTGCAGAGAAATCTATCGATGTTCCGTGCTTGTATTCTAACCAGCGCTAAACCAAGGTGAAAAAGCAGAACCAAATAATCCCCATGACCCATGTGGCATGGGGAAGTCCTCATCCAGCAGTGGGTTGGCAAAGGCCTGTACAGAAACAATCAATATACTCAGAAGTGCTTGTGCCATGGCAGCCATTCTTATTTCCCACTCGGCTCCTCTGTCTTAAAGAATATTAATTGGCCTGTTTTTTTTTTAAGTCTTTGGGTAAAGCCACCGTAGATAGAAAAATAATAATAACAATATCACGACGTTTCGATCGCAACACAAGCAGTCGTTATCAGGAATATTAATTCCTGCAGTCATGAAGGCCTTAAGTCAAGGCCAAATAATGCTCAGCTAAGGTTCAACAAATCAGAGTCAAAAGTGGTTTCTGGCCCAAACAATCGTGGGGCGGAGCTCACCTCCGGCTTACAATCCTGAGCCATCTGACAAGAGCCCACATTCCTACGGAGAAGCGTGTCTATCATACGGTGACTTCTTCGCCAATTGGTGCTCGTTTTATGAACCCCGAAGGAATGCAGGGCCGAGTGAAACCCCACACCGCGATTTGCAACTTCCGATCGCAAGCCACGCGCTCTATCGCCGTGCTACCTGGCCAGTTTCTAGCTGAAGTAACCACAACAACGGTGGCATGACTTGATTGGCATGGGCCCTCGTGCAAGGAATGACAGCCTGGCCTGTGAGCCACGGTGCAGTTGCACCGCCTACACACCCGATAAATACGTGCCACTGCTAAAGTAAACATACAAATGTTGCATGCAGGCTGCCACTGTGAATTGCACATTTCTCACCCCGTAGCATCTATGAGTAATGCGAGGGTGTGTGCAGAGCGTGTGCCGGTGCGCATACCACACGGTGTTGTGGGTGGAGGGTAGGGCGCTGAAGGTGACAGGCTGCTGTTCCAGGGTGGCGTTCCGCTAGAATGCGGCTCGGCGGTGGTGGGCGCCACAACCGGGTTGCCTGGATTCCCGAGGGGCGCGCGGAGAGAAGAAAATTGTTTACTGGCGCTCGCGCCACGCCGCCGGCGTCGTGGCAGGAGTTTTGTGGGTTAGCATTTTAAGGTCATGATGGGATAGAGGAGAGAGAGAGAGAGAGAAAGAGAAAAATAATCCGAACCGGCGGTTATGTTATCTCACCTTTGCACTCGTAGGTTCCAATTCTGTTGACACAATTTGTTCCACTCTGGCAGGAATTGAGCTCAGGCGCATTACATTCATTGACGTCTAATGGAGAGGAAAAACAACACGCACGCACGCAAATGTCTTTACAGAAGTGTCAACTCTGCACGGTACCTCCCCGGTATTTGTCAGAGCTATGCGCGCCTATCGCCGATCACCAGAAACGATAGCATCTGAGATGTGACGCTCTGCCGACGCAGCTGCTCACGGTGGCGATTCCTGCCGGTGCAGGCAGCTCGACTGGAAATGTACGGTGACCACGTGCTTCTCCAAAATGCATCTCCACCCCCAACCCCCCCCGCCCCAAGTCGCATGGAACAAAGCCCCCGACCGTACAAACTCACCAAGAAATACCTCGCTCGTGTTAACCCACTTCCAACGACACATTGGCATCCGTCGATTGTCCACAGCACGATGGCACAGAACTACGTGATTTGAACTCGAACTAAATTTTTTTTAATTTCAGCAGATAAGACCCACTCAGCTATGTAGCTCATTTTCACAAGCGACTCTAGCCACAAATGATAGCTCAACGAAGTGGCTCATCACGTGTAAGAGTACAGCAACCAAATACCCTAAACGTGATGTTGATTCTAAATGTCGAGAGAAAAACCGGAGGACCCGGAGAAAAATCCACGCGACCACGGGGAGAGACATGCAAACTCCAAATATATGGGCATTAGGGTCGGGATCGAGCCCACGGCCTCCTGTATACAGGCGAGTTAGTTAACATCTGGCCCCAGTGGTGTTCATTTCAAAGTTATTGGGTTGTAAAAATAAAAAAATGTTACATACCGAGTGCTTTTATGTTGGTTACATAGCAAAAATAAGGCTTAGTTGTCGAGTGGTCGCCAAGTAAGTCCAATAACTACTCGCGTAAAGAGATACTCGGCATCAGTGGGCTCGCGCTCGGTTTTGGAATAAGAAGTTTACAAGTTTGCCCTCTGCAAGCTAATTAACACGGCCATATTAAGTTCAAACACATAACGCCGGTGTCATTCGTGTCCACTTGTCAATAATGGCACCATAAGATGGGTAATTGCCACTGGCCGTACTGTATAACGTCACCGTGGCTTCACAACATACTCATTAAAGTGTCGCAAAAAAAGGTCAGTTGCCGCCATACACAGATGTCTCTCTTAAGGTCAACGTGAGACATATTGAGACCATTACAATTATATTTCATACTTACTAGGCACTTTTACGATGTCTGAAGGCGCCAGCCCTTTGTCAATCCACTGTTGGATGACTGCCTCCCCATGCCGTCTCAATTATGGGGGGTTATTTGACCATACTTCACCACGCTGGTCAGCGTGGCTTGCAGAAAGAGGGGCGGCCCCAGTTCGGATATCGCTCACCACTGATGTTCGCCATGGCTGGGAATCGAACTCAGTGTGGTGGGGGGAAGGCAGGTTCATAGCTCAGTGCGCTAACCACTGTGGCCAGGACTCCATCGCGAATGTGAGCATCATGTTTTATTAATATTAAGGCTCTGGCTGCTGGAAATGAGCACGAGATCATTCAAGTTTCATGTGCACCGGCGGTGACTTGCCATGCTGCGTTGATCTTTGATTTGAAATTGAACATTCTGACACCGTACGACTGTTTGCGTCATCCTGGGCAAAAGCATCGAGTGTAAAGCAGTGCCTCGACTGGACTGAGGTCTTGACTGGACTGCGATCATCACGGTCACTCCTTGGGATTGATTTAGCAAAGCTTCGTGAGGTCTCAAGACTCTCAGACTCAAAGGGTGCCTACCGCTTTTGTCGCACGGCATTTGGCCGGTTGCATTAACGAGTGTTCGGTAGTGATGTCTTGATAAGGAGGAGAACAAGTTGTTGCAGGCCAGTACGAGTGGCAATTGCTTCAAGGTGCAATGCGCAAAGAAAACAATTCCACATATGACGAGCCTCAAACAAGAGAAAATGTCCGTACCTTTGTAATATTTACATTCAGTTTCGGACGAATGCGGTTCGTGATACGTTGTTGAACGATTGCGCACATAAATACAATCACATCTTGTAAGAAACAGAGGGTTTTGCATCTCTTGAAGCAAGGAGGCACATATAAGATAGTGACATTGATCCCTTGTATAGACTTAACAGGCTGCTGAAGCAAGTGCTTTTCGTGAGCACATTATATATATACACACACACACGCCCTTTTGAAAGAAGAATATACAATCATAAACAAAGGAGAAAAGAAAGATCTTGAGTCTGGACTTCAACAAGGCGAGGAGTGGTCTGAATGCATTGATGGAGGAGGGAGTTCCAGACATATTTTTAGTACTTATTTCTTATTTTACCAAGGTAAGGTTAATTGAGCTATAGAGCTCTTGTTCAGAAGCGACCTGGTCACAAATGCCAACTCAACGAAGCGGCTTATCACGTGGAAATGAATTGCAACCAAATATCTAAACGCATGATTATTCTAAATGTGGAGGGAAAACACCAAAGGAGCCGGAGAGAAAATCCACGCGGCCATGGGCAGAACATGCAAACTCCAAATATACAAGCATCAGAGATCGTACCCACGACCTCCTGCATCTTGAACAAATGTTTGACTGGGGCCTTTTGACAAAAGTATTATCATTCTTGATTTGAAACTTTCGTGACTGCAGGAATCCATGCTCTTTGGTTCTTTGGTTATTTCGGTAAAGTCACGTAGGTAGAAAAATAAAATAAAATATCATTGTTATTGTTTTCCCAAGGAGTGGAGAGCACACAGAAGGGGGGTGGTGAGATGAGCTGGAAGCGGTTGGCAGGGGGGACAAGTCCACGGAGGATCTTGAAGTCTACGAGGGCTTTGTCGAAGTTGACCTGGGACCGGATCAACTTCAGCAAATTTGAGCTTTGTAACTTTCTGCCGTGCTCCAGCACTCTTCCTTCCGATGTTGGGAAGCCACTGGAGCGCTGTGCACTTTTAAGCCGACGTTAAAAACTCACTTCTTACAAAACGCTTTTTGCGTTTCAGTTCGTTTGTCGCGCCTCCGATTTAGCACGGTTGGCCACGTAGAGTGCGAAAGAAGTTCAACATACACAGGTAAAGCAAAAAATCCACGCACCTGCGACTCTTGCGAACATCACTCTGGGGGCTTTGAAGGGCAGCTTTTGCAGCTTCATGCCGAGCGCCAGGCGGTCGGTCCTCGGTGGGCTGAAGGCGACCCTCAGCTTGGCCTCGGTGCTCCGCCAGAAGCCCAGCGTGCAGGGCGCGAAGGCGGTCACGTAGACCCCCGTCGCGTTCCAGCTCTCCAGCAAGCCCGACACCTGCTCACCGCGCACGCGTCCAACGCCAGCCCAGGTGGAGGCCGCACGCACGACCCCCGTCAGCGTACGCCGCGCGGCCGTGGGCCACCCTCCACGCTCGCTCGGGGTAGACTCGGCAGCGTTCCAGAGCAACTATTCGGGTGTGCCGTGGTGGCGAGATGTTAACTCCCTCGCCTGGTTTGCGGGAGGTCCTGGGTTAGAATGTGTTCTATCTCTCCGTGGTCGCGTGCATTTTTCCCCCGTTTTTTTCCTACACATTTAGAATCAACATGCGTTCAGAGTATTTGGCTGCCATAAATTTCCACGTGATAAGCCACTTCATTGAGTTATCGCTTGTGGCCAGGTCGCTTCTGAAAAAAATATCTGTATTGGTCAGTTGGCCTTACCTGGTAAAATAAAAAAAAAATTAGTTTGGTTGAATTCGTACCTGCGTCGATATTGGGGAGGTACTGTTGGGATAATTCGATCATCCTGAAGTAATTTAACGTACGCACCTACATGCATACATATGGGAGCTATAGCGATCATCATTAGTACACGGGCCGATTGTTGCGGCCGCCGTTTGACCGGGAAAGGGGGGCCTGTAATGGCCCGTGGCGAGAACTCACCATCGAGTGGACGAGACGAGCGGCTTCCAGGAAGCTGGCCGAGTGAGGATCGAGGAGGTCTGCCGAGTATTCTATCGTGGTAGTGAGCTCGATGTCGTAGTAGCCCGTGTTCGCTAAGAACGAAAGACAATGACACTTGGCGGTCAAACGCATGGGGAAGGGGGCGGATTTCGTGACAGACATATTAGTGCTGAGAGCTACAGTTGGCATCATCGCAGAAATGGCATTGAAACGGATGTATGTTGTTATATTCACATGACTATGATGGTAAGAGTCAATGAATAATATATACGTGTCATGGTTGAAGATAACAATGACATTAATGATGATCAAGAGAGGGACTGAACATGGATCTGGGCGATGGTGCCAGGAAATGATGATGATGCTGCTGCTGATTATGATGACAACGACGTCGAGCATGAAATTGACCATGTATGTGCATTACGCGTAGCACGGTCGGTGACGATCATAATGATGGTGACAGTGATGGAATAAGAGTGGCGACAAAGGAGATGTCGTGGAGTCGAGATAAGCGTACGATATGGCCAGCCGACACTTCGAGCACGACAGCTCTGGCAACACGGGCAACAACAATGGGAGCAACAACGGCGTTTTACAATGCGATACCTGTAATTAAACTTGGATGCGTGTGTGCGCGTGCGTGTGATTGTACGTGTCCACGCGCGTGCGTATGTGTGTTTGTGTGTGTGCGTACGTGTGTTTGTGCACGTGCGTGTGTTTGTACGTGTGTGTGTGTGCGTACGATCACGGCAGGCCTCGATGGGCCATCCGCAACCGCTGTCGACGACGACCAACGACCTCCTCACCTTGCGGGACCGGTGGGGCGCACGTGAGCCGGCCGCCACCTCCGCCCGTGTCGGGGCAGCACTTGGTGGCGTTGCCGCAGTCCCCGTCCTTGGCGCAGGGGGCCGTGGAGCCGCCGGGCGGCGAAGCCGGGCAGCCGCCCGCCTTCGACGTGAACACGCTCGACTCGGTGAGCGCTGCCGGGGTGGAAGGAACGCGTGCCACGGTCAGTTGGGGGGGGGCGAGGGGGCGGTGGTGGTGGTGGGGAGCGGTTTCCCAGGCGCCCCCCTTAGGGCCCCTGGTTCCACTCGCCAGGTGCGTGGGAACGGACACGTCCGGAGCTAGCACGCCACCCCCCAGATCCCGCTTGGCTGCGTTCACGAGTTCGCTAACACCACGTTACGTGCCCCCCCCCCACCCCCCCATCTACAACATGTCTCATCGCGTCAGCCCTACAAGGGGCGATAGTACCGGCACCGCTTCGAGGTGCGTAACACAACTCCAATGGCGCTCGTCGTTCGTATTGCTCATGTGAAGATAGTGGGGCTGTGATCAAGCATTTCTACATTGTCTAAACCTGAACGTGGAATGTGTGTGTGTGTAGCAGTGTGTGGGTAGCGTGAGTCTATGGTGTGTGGGTAACGTGAATCTACGGTGTGTGGGTAACGTGAGTCTACAGTGTGTGGGTAGCGTGAGTCTATGGTGTGTGGGTAGCGTGAGTCTACGGTGTGTGGGTAACGTGAGTCTACAGTGTGTGGGTAGCGTGAGTCTACGGTGTGTGGGTAACGTGAGTCTAGGGTGTGTGGGTAGCGTGAATCTATGGTGTGTGGGTAACGTGAATCTACGGTGTGTGGGTAACGTGAGTCTAGGGTGTGTGGGTAGCGTGAGTCTACAGTGTGTGAGTAACGTGAGTCTAAGGTGTGTGGGTAACGTGAGTCTACAGTGTGTGGGTAGCGTGAGTCTACGGTGTGTGGGTAACGTGAGTCTAGGGTGTGTGGGTAGCGTGAATCTATGGTGTGTGGGTAGCGTGAGTCTATGGTGTGTGGGTAGCGTGAGTCTAGGGTGTGTGGGTAGCGTGAGTCTACAGTGTGTGAGTAACGTGAGTCTAAGGTGTGTGGCTAACGTGAGTCTAGGGTGTGTGGGTAACATGAGTCTAGGGTGTGTGAGTAACGTGAGTCTAAGGTGTGTGAGTAACGTGAGTCTATGGTGTGTGGGTAGCGTGAGTCTAGGGTGTGTGGGTAGCGTGAGTCTACGGTGTGTGGGTAACGTGAGTCTACGGTGTGTGGGTAGCGTGAGTCTAGGGTGTGTGGGTAGCGTGAGTCTATGGTGTGTGGGTAGCGTGAGTCTACGGTGTGTGGGTAACGTGAGTCTAGGGTGTGTGGGTAGCGTGAGTCTAGGGTGTGTGTGTAGCGTGAGTCTAGGGTGTGTGGGTAGCGTGAGTCTAGGGTGTGTGGGTAGCGTGAGTCTAGGGTGTGTGGGTAGCGTGAGTCTAGGGTGTGTGGGTAGCGTGAGTCTACGGTGTGTGGGTAACGTGAGTCTAGGGTGTGTGGGTAACGTGAGTCTACGGTGTGTGGGTAGTGTGAGTCTAGGGTGTGTGGGTAACGTGAGTCTAGGGTGTGTGGGTAGTGTGAGTCTAGGGTGTGTGGGTAGCGTGAGTCTAGGGTGTGTGGGTAACGTGAGTCTAGGGTGTGTGGGTAACGTGAGTCTAGGGTGTGTGGGTAACGTGAGTCTAGGGTGTGTGGGTAATGTGAGTCTAGGGTGTGTGGGTAACGTGAGTCTAGGGTGTGTGGGTAACGTGAGTCTAGGGTGTGTGGGTAGTGTGAGTCTAGGGTGTGTGGGTAGCGTGAGTCTAGGGTGTGTGGGTAGTGTGAGTCTAGGGTGTGTGGGTAGCGTGAGTCTAGGGTGTGTGAGTAACGTGAGTCTAGGGTGTGTGGGTAACGTGAGTCTAGGGTGTGTGGGTAGCGTGAGTCTAGGGTGTGTGGGTAACGTGAGTCTAGGGTGTGTGAGTAACGTGAGTCTAGGGTGTGTGGGTAGCGTGAGTCTAGGGTGTGTGGGTAGTGTGAGTCTAGGGTGTGTGGGTAGCGTGAGTCTAAGGTGTGTGGGTAGCGTGAGTCTAGGGTGTGTGGGTAGCGTGAGTCTAGGGTGTGTGAGTAACGTGAGTCTAGGGTGTGTGGGTAACGTGAGTCTACGGTGTGTGGGTAACGTGAGTCTAGGGTGTGTGGGTAGCGTGAGTCTACGGTGTGTGGGTAGTGTGAGTCTAGGGTGGGTGGGTAACGTGAGTCTACGGTGTGTGGGTAGCGTGAGTCTAGGGTGTGTGGGTAGTGTGAGTCTAGGGTGTGTGGGTAGCGTGAGTCTAAGGTGTGTGGGTAGCGTGAGTCAAGGGTGTGTGGGTAGCGTGAGTCAAGGGTGTGTGGGTAGCGTGAGTGGCATAGCGGCGAGTAATATCTGAACCGGTGTTGTGCCACCCCGAGGTTGACTCAGGTCTTAAATAAGCACCTGGTTCAGTGTGTAAACTTCAGCCATCGGGAGAGACAAAGCAGGGCTGGGCGTCTTGCGGGACATACTTTGTGCTCCACAGTGTCGTCATATGTGTACGCTTGCTGAACTTATTTCCCACCGTATGTAGCCAACCGCGCCAATCGGAGGTGCCTTCATAGGTGCTCGATGACAGCACTTGCCCCAACAGTCGATAGAGGCCGTACGGTGTTTTCTGTATCTATGGAAGGCGAACGCTTGTGCGGTGTGTGTGTGTGATGCGCTTTGATAAATAAGTCCAGGTGTCAGGTAATCATAACTCTGGATACACACAAGCATCTGGTTACATTGCTGTTCCAAGGCTCACTTCGTTCAGACCTCTCCCCACATTTAAATTTGATCTCACATTGACAGTGCACCGAAAATCGTTTTAATTGGGTGGGCTGCGATAAAATACGTGCTGGCAAATATTCGGGTATTAAAAGGTATTAAATTATGGGAGCAAAATACTCCGGGGCGTTGCAGGGGGTGTATGGCCCAGTCGTGTAAATATCTCCACGGACAAGTGATGTTTTATCACGCGATCTCAGCCTATTGCTGGGTAGCTCCTTGTAGAATATAAAGTGGTATCGTGCTGTGGAGGATCTGGTCCTTGCCATATTAATGTGGAATTTCCACCACCGGGTCAGGGGCACCGCCAGGGATGAGCACTGTTCTATTGCTCTTGGTTTTAAGTAATGGGCTTGGTTTTTTTTATCAAGCACACACGCGTAAAAACACATAAATATATATGATTACACACATATACACAACATACACACATACATGTGTACGTACAGTATCAACAGTGTTGTCTGCTGTGGGAGAAACTGGAGAAACGTGCCCTTGCCACGACAATGTGGAATTTCCACCACCGACTGTGAGGGCACCAATAAATACCTTTGTATGTATGTGGCCTGTTTCAAATTACGCAGGCATATAAATACGCACGCACGTATATAGGTGTGTGTGAGCAGGGAGACACGTTCACTGTTGACGCGAGCATTTGAATATGCATTTATCGCTGGGCTCACACTGGGCCCTCTCATCTGGGCAGTATTAACAACAACAGCAATAATAATACAATCCCTTGGGGGGCTAGCGAGCTGGTGGAGTTGGTGGTGGTGGTGGGGGGGGCCGTGGAATTCACGGGAGCACACAGTAGGAGCCACGTCTGGGCACCCATCACCCGGGCAGTATTAACAATAACAACAATAATAATAGAGCTGGTGATGCTGGGGTTGGGTCGGGGGTGCCGTGGAACTCACGTATCACACAGTAGGAGCCACGTCTGGGCACCCATCACCCGGACAGTATTAACAATAATAATAGAGCTGGTGATGCTGGGGTTGGGTCGGGGGTGCCGTGGAACTCACGCAGCACACAGTAGGAGCCGCGTCTGGGCACCCATCACCCGGGCAGTATTAACAATAACAACAACAATAATAATAGAGCTGGTGATGCTGGGGTTGGGTCGGGGGTGCCGTGGAACTCACGTAGCACACAGTAGGAGCCGCTCCTCTCGTAGCCCGCGCAGCAAACGGTGTCGTTCTCGAGCTGCGTGCGGACGACGGGCCGGTAGGCGACGCGGTACCCCGTCTTGTAGCACACATGCGCCAGCCAGCCGCTGTGGCACAGCGACAGCTTCGCGAAAGACTCCGTGTAGCTCACCATGGTCGTGCGGTTCACCAGGACCTCGCCGCGGCACAGGTGGTAGCCACGCAGGGGCCGCATGTTCGCTGCTGTGGCGAGACGGTGCGAGTTCGGAAGTTTGGAATCGGACGTTTTTGCATCGAGGGTAACAGCCAGCCAGCGGGCGAGACTGCTTTTTTTGCGTTTAGTTTGTCGTCCACCCACCCCAACACACGCCTCCGATTTAGGACGGTTCGCTGCGAATGGTGCGAAAGCAGTTGAACGTACTAACATACAAGTGGCAGTATGACATGTTTAATATACACAGACAGATGAGAGGGACTCCCTGAAAAATAAAAATGAAACTTGATAACCCACAAAATATCATTGCCTAGAAAGTGCAGTAGTAGTAGTCGTAGTCTCTCGCTGATATAATGGGGAGATTACGCCTGATGAAACAAGTAATGTGATATCAGGTTTAGAATGTGACGATCTTTGTGGACAGATGCTGTGAGATAAATATCTTGATATGTAGCCTACGTCAGTTGTCAAGCCTTTTTGCCAGGAAATCCTCCAAGTTGTCAGGGTAGGAAGGCCAACAAGCCACGGTACTTAACCAGCTTGCTGCTGCTGCTGAGCTTTGGATGTTATGAAAAAATCATTTAATCTCTTTCCCCAATTTATTGCCCAATTGTGCCACTGCCATCAGGGTCATGTAAGAGGAAGGATCATTTCGGAACTCTACCAGAGCAACTACATCACCCCGTGTTCGGGAATGGCCCACGGAAAACCATATCGCAGAACTGCGTCTGAGATATTCTATATATATAAAAGGGAAATGTGTGAATGTGTGTGTCTGTTCGAAATGTTTAGCATACTTCCCAACATGCTACAAATTTGAAATTTGGCATGTGGGTAGTTTCCAGACTGTACACAATGCAAAAAGTATAAAAATAGACTTTTGTATTTGCGGGGGGGGGGGGGGAAATAATGGATATAATCTATTGCACGACAAGTGAGCGGTGACGTCACATCTGTGATGTCACCCGCATGCGGCAGCGTTACGCAGTGCCTGCTGACGTCACGCATCCCCGCCCCCCACCCTCCACTTAGGCCATGTATTAATCCAAGACAAAAATCCAAGTCTCAGGCGAAGCCGGGTAGTAAAGCTAGTCTTCTATATATATAAAAAAGTCAAAAATAGTTATTGGGTTTGTCTGTGGGATTGTGTTTAGGTTTGTGTGTGTTCGCGCGCTTGCGAAGGATTTGGCTCTCCAACGGTGGGGTTTACGTAAAAGAAAATAGCCAGGTACCACGCCGTAAGCCCCGCCCTGAGCAAGCGCTATTCCTTGTTCACAGCCGTCAACTTTAAATTAGTTTAATTCGCGATTTAGTGCGATTTTTGTGTGCTTTCCCTTTATTTAATTATTTATTGCGCGTGCACGGCCATACCAACTCACGCGCCTTTGGTGGGAGGGGACGGCCCATGCCAAATCGCACGCCTTCGGTGGAAGTGAGGGGGGCATTTTCTTTCGAAATTAAAAATACACTAAATGCTGAGGTAAATTATTCACTGTGTGCTGTTCTCCCCACCCCGATGCGTGCAGTTACTACTACTATACAGTCGATATATGTTACTACTACAGGCCGTAGATATTACTGCAGAGCGGCCGGGGAGATTGTGGCTGGAGGGGGGGGGGGATCAGGGGTAGCAGCCCAGCCTGCCAAGGTGCCACCTTGGCCGGCTGGACAATCTAGGCGAGGCCGGAGGCTCTGCATGGGAATAGGCCTCACCACGCCACTGTCGGATGAGTACTTTGTGCTATAGAGTCCATAAATACTGCTCTATAGTCAGCATGTACTACTGTAGTGATAGCAGGTACCACCACAGTCGGTATGCACTGCTGTAATCATAGCAGGTACCACCACAGTCAGTATACACTGCTGTTAGATTTTTAAGAGTAGTTTTCAAATATTGTTTTGGCCCGGGCAACGCCGGGTACTTCCCGCTAGTCCCTGATAAATGGCAGTAAAGACTGGCATTTTATTGTCAGAGCTGGGATTTAGCCCAATTAAGTGAAGAAAAAATCTTAATTTTTGTTTATACTTGTTTGTGCACTCATTGGTGCCTGGACTGAGACCATCACCCTCACGACATTTGAGAACCCAGTTTCATCACCGGTGGATCAACAGTACTCATCATCATCTACATAACTTATTCCGAACCTCCCATTACAGTACGTCTCGAGGTTAATCAGATCCGTAAATTAAAAGAGAGCCATCAGAGCAGATTCATAGTGCAGGCTGGAAAGCATCTGTATCAAACAGGACACAAAATTCAACGGGCCCATTGTGCATTATGCAAAAAATATATAATGTGCTTCTTCGCAAAGACAACAAAACTAATGCCGATGAATTGCTGCTTGTTGTATTTGCATATGCTTGTGCGTTTTCAGTTTGCACTATAATTCTATTATGGTGGGGTTTGGGTTTTTTTTCATCATTTAAAGATATAATTATCGTTTGCATTAGCCAAGCTTAAAGACCCCATAGTGTGGATATTGGGCACGACACACACATACTGCATATTGTTCTCAGAGGCAATCTTTCCAGCAGTGAGCATTTGTGACTATTCTTTCCTAATTATGATGTTAATTTGTTGTGGGTTTTGTTCGTAATAATTGCTCATATTTGTTTACTTTCGATAGCTTCACCGGGTCTATATACATATATTGCTGGATGTTTGGAACCCTTGAAATTATGACTTGTATATCATAATATGTAGCATCATAACCATCAATTAATGTTGCAACAATTAATTGTTATCATCATACATAATCATAGTTATCATCTTATCACGCTTATTTAAATGTTTCATGGCACGGCTATTGTCCGATCGTGCCACTGATGTAGTCCTTGTTATTGCAGTGTTTTTAAAATACATTTAGGGAAAAATAATTTTTAAAAATCAACCGCATTTCATAGACAACCATCCGTCTGCACTTTCAAATAATATTCTATAACCCATCAGCCTATGTGCTTTTCATTGCTATGATGCTATTTATCATCTATACTATTTAGTGCCATTTATTACTCTTAGTTAATTATCCGTAATGCTCCGAGAGCAGCAAATAATTAGTTTTTTTACATTAAATAATCAGTGAAACGACAGCAAATGAGTAAACGCAAAAACAAATTGGATTTATTTAGCGCCTAAATGCAACCGCGTATCGAGGGGGAAAAACACAACTGTCGAGTATTTTCAGCTCGTGTTTGACAGCCTCTCGTCCAAACCACCGAATGTCTTTGCAAAAACAAATCATTCGTGAACACAGTCCAGCAGTCCGGTTGTTTAGTATTCCCGCTCATCACGAACGACAGCCGACGGATGTGCATACACATCGATATTGAACCCTGAACAGAGGTGGGGGAGGTTGGGAATTCCCGATAAGGCAATGACTCCGCTACGCGCACCATACACCCATTTGGATCAATGTCTGTCATGTTATTCAATCTATTATTTAAAGGTAACGATGTTAAATGCGCGCGCGTTACTCTAATTCGGATTTAAAATAACGACAGCTCGTTGCTGCTAAAGGGGACGGAGCGGTGGATAATTAAATGCACACGTGTGTGCTTTTAGACGAGAGGCACCAGACTTTGAACCCAGCGACCCGAGTTCGGATTCCCGGCAGTGATTAACATAACTAGTGACTGATCGTCGATATCTGAACTGGTCCTTTTCCAGAGTGGTGAAGTATAGTCAAACAATCCAATGCCTTCATCCAAAAGTAGATTGACAAAGCTGGCGGTTGTGTTCATTTGAACTCACTTCTCAACCTTGTATAATCAGCTTTATCAGCAACAAACAATGGTCAATCATCGTCACAAATCATCATAATCACCCATCAACATTTTATCGTGCTCACTTGAATTTACTTTCGTGGCCCGGCTATTTTCTTAAATCAGCTCTGCTGTATCCCTTGTTCAGAGAATGTTTGAAATACGTTTAGGGGAAATACAGCCCTAAAACAACTAACTACATTCATTCGACAAATAAACCTCTGCTTGTCGTAGCATAAGTTTGTCCGCCAAATGTTTGCACAGTGAAAAAAAGCACACTTAACAGGTAGATCAGACAAGTTCACGCCATTATTTGTGTTAAATCTGTAAAGTCGTCGTATGGGAAAAAAAACGAAGATAGCTTACCTGTCGCAACTTCACTTGCTCCAAGAACGATTGTCACAAACACACACAGACATTTAGCGGCACTAGTCACGATTGCCATTGTTGTCAAACTATATGTCGATTAAATAATATACCGAATAAATATACTAGCTACTCTTTTTTTTAAATATTGTTTTTCACCAAAGTGATTTGTAATGCAATGGTCTCCTTTAAAAGACAATAATGCCTTTCTGATCTTGTCTTGAGACTCGATGTCAGCGTCCAGCGCTTTAACCCTTTCCAAGGTTTTTATTTATTCCTCCCTCGTCTTGAGCGTTCCTCAAAAGTCCCAACTTCTTATATCTATCTCCGGGTAGGCTTGCGAAATTGTTTCTTGGGGGGGGGGCGCCGACGTGAGATATGACGCCCGGGTCTGACTCCTGCAATTGTGTTGGATGTTGGCTGGGTACATAAGAATGTTTGCTGTACCTGAACAACCACCCACACCTCTACCTGGCCTCACCCCAGTCACATGACCGACCTGCCCACCGTTGCCAGATGCTTTTGGCAAAAAATAGCAGAGGGGGGAGTTAGGGTGTGGGTGTGTGTGTGTTTGTGCACGTGTGGGGAGCGGTAGTGTAGCGGCTAGCGCTACGCTGCGACCCGGTGTTAGATTCCCGCTCACGGCCAACACCGGTGACGATTATCTGAACCCGTGCTTGGCCTCGCCTATGTCGACTCAGCCTTAAATGAGTTGCCTGGTGCGGTGTGTAAACATCGCCACTGGGGAGACAAAGGCGATCGGGCGTGGTGCTGGCCGTTGCGGCCTTCATAGAGTGCTCGCAAACAGCACTTGCCCCTACAGTCTGTTAAGGCTATACGGGGGATCTTTGTGTGTTTGTGCGCTGGGAAGCCGGGTGCCCGAGTTCGATTCCCGCTCACGGCCACCAACACCAGTGACGATTATCTGAACATGTCATCGGTCCTTCCACCTAGGTCGACTCAGCCTTAAATGAGTTGCCTGGTGCGGTGGTGTAAAACGTCGCCACTGGGGAGACAAAGGCGACAGGGCGTGGTGCTGGCCACCCACCCACTCGTGCGGCGTGCCGGCCTTCACAGGTGCTACTCGCGAACAGCACTTGCCCCTACCTTCTGTTAATGCGTTGTGGGGGATCTTTATCTTTGTGTGTGCGCGCGTGGGGAGCGGTGTTGCACTGGTTAAGCTCACTGCGTATGTGTGTGTAGTGGGGAGCGGTGGTGTAGCGGTTAGCGCGCTGCGCTATAAACCTAACGACCCAGGTTCGATTTCCGCTCCAGTGACGATTATCTGGACCGGTCTTGAGCCACCCCTAGGTCGACTCAGCCTTAAATGGGTACGTGGTGCGGTGTGTAATCATCACCACTGGGGGGGGACAAAGGCGGATAGGGCGTGGTTCTGGCCACCCGCCGCCTCTTGTGCCGTGCCGGTTTTTACGGCATTTATATTTACGCGATCTAACCACAAACAAACCTCATCTTTATGGTTATTGCACACACAGTACGTACGTATGTATGTTGAACCTCTTTCGCACCGTACGTAGCCAACCGCGCTAATCGGGTGTGCGGATAGCCGCGATGGCTACTCGATTTGAACCGTGAATCCGTCATAAAAGTGAGCATCACATTTACGCGATCTAACCCATAACCCTCTATTATGTGAGCATCACAATTTAAATGAACGAGAAAAATGGCTTTTAGCCTTCGCAAGCAAAAAAAAAACCCTTTGTTGTGATGTTCCGCGCTGTTATTTAAACAGACTCTGAAGTTGACTTTGAAAAGGCGTCTTCGACGAACCCGTGACTGCTGGCAAGTAATATTCTCAAACGGGACTCTCGCACGCACAATTCTATGCCTTTACGGTCATTGGAATTATCTACGGTTTTTTTTTGGGGGGGGGTCTTTTCACAAAGTTTTTTCGCGATTTTGTGATCGCCGTATGAGAATCATCCATCCATGTCCCTTGCCGAGTAGTAACAACCCTTCGTGTTGGATAACGGCCCACAGAAGCATGTATCAGCAAGCTGCATTCGAGGTCTCGTCAAGGGGCCCCTCTGTCCCACACAATAACGTCCCATTCACAGAGCTGTAATTTAGCCAAACTAAGTACAGAAAACAAAATTTAATATCTTGCCTGTTGTGTTTTTTTTGTTTATTCACTTGCGGTCATGGGTAACCGGCTCGAGACCAACTACTCAATACCCTTGAGAACTCGGGTTTATTTACAGGCGCCTGCGTCGATTAGAATCCGTGATCTCCAGCGGACGCCGGCCCTAGCACTCTGCCCTCTGAGTCACCGGGCCAACGAAAGAATCGATGGTAATCGATGATTCAACCTGTCAATACTCCTCCCCACACCGACAAAGTGAGGTAAGCCACGAGCGAAGCACCGCGTGATGATGACGGTGACGACAAAGACAACGATCCCCCTGTATAGCCTTAACAGGCTGTTGGGGGAAAGTTATATTGTTAGCGAGCCCCTAAGAAGGCTGGAACCGTACACGAGGGGGGGGGGGGACAACACCACGCCCGGCCGCCTTTGTCTCCCGAGTGGCGATGATTACACACTGTGACGACACACACGCGAGACCACACGCACGCCTACGTTCACAGTTCTATTTACGCAGCTATTTGATATATACATTTAAAGGTACAGTGGAAGAGCAACGCAACTGTCCATATTGATTCGCAGTGTGCACGCGACACCGATTGTGTAAACAAGCAGATGGCCAGGAGATGTTAACTACCTCGCCTGGTACGCAGGAGGTCGTGGGTCTCATTCCCGACACTGACGCCTGCTGCTGTGTATTTGGAGTTTGCGGTGTGGTTTTTTCTCCGGGTCCACCGGTTTTTCTCTCCACGTTTAGAATCGACATCCACGCGTTTGGAGTATTTGGCTGCTATACATTTCCACGCGATAAGCCACTTCAAGGGGACTATCATTTGTGACAGGCAGGTCGCTTCTTAAAAAATAGCTATATAGCTCAGTGGGCCTTACCTGGTATATATATATTTTTTTTACTTTAGATTAGTTTATGGTTTTATTTACCACCCCCCCTCCAGCACGGTTTCCAATGTGGATGCTGGCAGGTGCGGAGCCAGGATTTCAGCCCGGGGTGACATTCAACAAATGTTAATTTCAAGAATAATTAGAGAGTCAGGCTGTTGAACTAGACGCCATCGGTTGGCGACACACTCTGACAATGCAGTTGCACGGAGTCCACCAGACCGAGTGTCGTACACTTATACAGCAGAATGTTTCAGATTTTCGATTTTTATTTTTTTTCGGGGGTGACAATTGTCTACCCTGTCACCCCCCTGGCTCCGCCCCTGGATGCTGCTATTGAACGATCCGCGTGCAGGTCCACAGGGTCGGCCCCGTCTGAGCCGTGCGGCCGTGGCTGGCATCGGTACCGAGCGCGCGCTCCCCGCATTCGCTCGGCTCCGCAACGCGGTCGCGAGGGCTTCTCTCGCAGGGAAGTCAAACGCGGGAGGCTCGTTTTCAAGTCAAAGCTGGGGGGAAGGTCGCCGAGAAAGTGCGGGGGCTGCATCTTCTTGTTGGGGGAAGGGGCATGATTGATGGCCGATGCATATATCATTGACAAATGATGTGTCGTACCTCCAAGCTCACACTTATTTAAAGGGAATGTAAGCGAAACAAAACTTAACACATTCGTCATGCTTTTTTTTATTTAAAGCGTTCGTGACTGCAGGGATTCATATTCTTGGTTCTTTCGGTAAAGTCACGAAGAAGGGAAACAATATATATTTATATTTTTATTATTTTATTGTTTACCTTCTACGTGACTTTACCGAAAGAACCAAGAATATACATTCGTCATGCCTTTAAAATTGAAATATATAAGTAATATGAGACGTTTGGGTATGTGTCTGTCTTCAAAACACGGCAGAGGAATTGGTCACATTTATTTACATGCAAGAGTCTGGAGGCTCTTTTTCAATATAGTAATAGGTTTTACCCTTTTAACTGGCACAAAAACTGACACCTTTATTCAAGGCATCATGTCTGCAATAACCACAACACAAGCAGTCAAAATGCAAACAAAAGAGACAACTCTGATAATAATATGCACTGTCCTTGAATTTGATTGGTCCACACCCGAGACGGCTTTTCTTAGAGCTTAGTCTCCACTGGTGTTGGACGCCTTTTGGCGTCTTCTGGTCCAACGCCAGTGGAGACTAGGCTCTAGCCGTCTCGGGTGTGGACTAATCAAATTAAAGGACAGTGCATATTATTATCAGAGTTGTCTCTTTTGTTTGCATTTTGACTGCTTGTGTTGTGGTTATTGCAAACATGATGCCTTGAATAAAGGTGTCAGTTCTTTTGTGCCAGTTAAAAGGGTAAAACCTATTACTATATCTTGTTACTGGCAATGGAGGTCTTTTTCAAGTCAAACCTGGGGGAGGTCGCCGATAAGATGTGGGGTGTACTGCGGGCTACATCTTCTTGTTTCACTCGAATTGCATGAGTCAATTTGACTCACAATGAAAGCAAATTTGCCAGTATGCCATTGTGCAACAGGTCGGTGGCAATTGTATGTGTCAAGCATGGGGCGAGAACAAAAATAGAATCCTTTACAAAAACGATATAAAACCAAACGCAGCAAAATAAACAAGACATGTTGTTAAAATAATTTTCTGCGCCGCACATTGTGAAACTTCAAGAGCATTGTTGCCATTATTTACGGAAACACTGGCATCGGCCGCAGCCCAAACACCCATTCTCTAAAAGCACATCACTTCCAGTTAGCCATCACAGTGGACTGCTCTCGACTGTGTTCAAACACAAAGAAGACACACGTGACTCTCAAAACTGTGAACGCGGTGAGGTGCAAACCACCGGGAGCACGTCACTGACGACTGGCAAAATACGATACGCATATCAGCGCCTTCGATTTAGCACGGTTGGCTCCACGTACGGTGCGAAATAAATTCAACGTCCATATTCCGGTGGAACAAGCGGACTCGACTCAGCTGCTGGGGCTGCCGTGGGAATACCCACCGACATTAAACGTACATTTGCAGCTTTTTTTATTTTTCCAACACCATCCTGAAAGGAGGAGAAAATGAAAACGTTAGATTCCTTTAATCGGTTCGCAACTCCTCTCCGAGGGAGGAGAAGGAGGTTGAGGACTTTGTGCAACTTGCGCCAATTGTCAATAACGCTGTGAGAATTGAGGTCAAGAGGTGCCAATGCTTTAGCAGTAGGGGGTTTGATGCTTGGACTATGGAGACCACTTGGGGAGACAAGATATGCGTGTTATTGCGTAATGAAGAGTGTGTGTAGGTCGGTATAATTAAGTATCATGGATCAGTGAGCTGAACCTTGAGCAGTTCGGGACAAAAAAAAGAGTTGTTGACTTTTGAGCACAGCTGACTGAGAGTGAACTTTGTGGCAACACAGAATAATAAATATTGAAGTCCAGAGGAGAAGAGGGTAGATAAGTGTTTGACTATGCAAGAAGGGTTGCGTTGGGTGGGATATGTGTGTGTTTAAGGTGTATGATGCACGCATTTTAATAGCCTCA